TCTAAACTTACACGGCTAAAAGGACTTCATAGTAGATGCTCCACAGAATATTTTTTTTTGATGAGGATTTTACACAAAACACACAGAATATAAATTTAACTATCACATACTCATTGTTCGACCTTGGGGACGTTACCTAAAGCTTCCCGGGACTAATTTTTCTTGACCATAAAGAAGCAGACAGTAATATTAACAACCTCACAGGGTTGTTGTGAAAACTGAATGAAGCGACGCACAGAAAGAGGCTGGCAGAGTACGGGGCCGATCAACGTGAGCTGCTATTGTTGTGTGACTTTTGGAACATCTGTGATTTGTCCTTCACTAAATGTGCTTGGTCAGTGGCAATCCCAGGAAATGAGGTTAACACAAAGTGGAAACTAAATTTTTCTATCCCAAACTTGAGTTCTTCAAAGGCACATCAAAGGCATGAGTAAGGCTTCTCAATATCTGTGCTAAAAGGGAGATAAGAAAACAGCCATCATAATGTGCTGGGCTATTTTCCCTTGGAAAAATGGTCCATTCATTGAGAAATGTGCCCAGCGCATAAATGTGAATGGTGAAAGTGTTGGTCTTTCAGTTCCTCCCTCCAGAGGGCAGCCTGGGTGCCTAAGTCAGAGACAGACAGACCTGGTGAGGGTTCCAGTCGCTGTCAAAGATGACCACGGTATCAGCTGCCTGAAGGTTTAAGCCCAAGCCTCCAGCTCTTGTGCTCAGCAAGAAAATGAAATACTGGGACCCAGGTTCGTTGAATTTCTTTAGCAAGGCAGCACGATCTTCAGACTTGGTGGTGCCTGAGGGGATAAGAAAAATAAATTTGCCAATTAACTCCTGTCTGAAAATGGCACAGGGCTCGATGAAAAGGCCTGCTTCCTTGAGAAATACGCCTGGACTCCTCTTAGCATGGGTGAGGTAATCCCCGGAGGTTTTTGTATGTTTGAAAGGAATTTTGAACATTTTGCAATTAAAAAAAAAATTGAGAGAGAGAGAGAGACTTTTCTCAAATCAAGAAGGAACACTTTGTCTACTACCCATGGTTCCAAAATGCTGAAAGATTTTAAATGTTTTGGACTGGGTACCTTTGCGACTTTACAGATCCTTCAATATTTGTATATTAACCTAAATCTCAATGAAAACATTTTATGGATTTGTTTCTGTCCTTTAAAACACCAAATATTTTTTTAAAACACACACAAACACACACCCTAAAACAATTATTATAATGGCTTGAAGCAACTTTGCCGATAGGTATTAATGTGAGGTCTTGTTTATGCCAAGAGAAAGGAAACAAAAGGAAAATCAATTTCTACTATATTTTACCACTTCAATTGCTACTGAGCATGATCTGGCTGGTAAAAACATATAATGCGGGTGGAATATTTTTACCCTTGTTAGCAAGATTTGAAGCCGCAATAATTAAAAGAAAAAAAAAAAAGGGAATCAGTCAATCTGTTTCTCATGTTGACATTTTGCTCTGCTGAGTTCAAAGGACGCCCAACTAAAACCAAACAGGGCAGCAAGTCACACACCTGGTGGCTCCTCCCAGGGTGTCTGAAGTGGCTCCAAAATAGTGAATAAGCAGAGAGTGCCAACCCACAGGCTGTGCAGCTTGCTTTTCAGGTGCCAAGGCACCCACGCTTGCATCCCAAATTAGCTGCTCGGTCATATCCCATGGATGTGTAATGTATTTACCTGGCCATTTCATGAACTGCACTGTGGAAGGGGAAAAAAAAAAGAAACCCTTCCATATTCCACCTGAACATATTTCACCAAAAAAAAATGTAGCTGCAGAGTTCTGAAAAAGGCTTTAGGCTATTGGGAAATATATATGCATGTTACATGATAGTCCCCAACTGCCTGCTATACAAATATTCTTTCTACATGGTGTTCTTTTTTTAAGGATGAAACTATATTAGCGATTTATTTCAGAGGATTAAAACATGTAAGTGACTACAGCTAATAGGATCAAGTTACTATGAGGGTCAAGTTCCCAAACATGGGGGGATCTGTTTTTGATATTAATAAAAATAATAAGTACCCTCCTGAGGAGGAAAAAAGAAACAATTCCTTGCACACAGCAAAAGGGGCTTTGGGGGTTCTCATTTAATGAAGCAACAGTCTTTAAAGCTCATTTTACTTTCTAAATTAGATTTCAAGGTTAGTGACCTGGTCAAATCCCGCAACAATGAATTGTGAAGAATTTAGATTTCGGGGGAGAAGCACCAAATGTGCTCTGTTCAATGAGGTTGCAAACATATGGGGCTCTTTTTTTTTTTTCCTTGTATTTTCAGAACTGACTTTCTGAGAGCATGGGGAACTATTTCTTCACAATGCTAATGGAAGACATGTTCTGTTCAATCACAAAACCTTTTCGCTACATCATCTTTCCAGTTGCAATCATTTAAAAAAAATTACTCACATGGAGTCAAGGTTCACATATTTACCCTCTGCCCTAAACTGAATAAAAGGCCACAGAAACAAACAAACAAACTTCTTCTAAAATGGGGAAAGGAGTTCCCAGAGATAGTATCTATTTTCTTGACAGCAGGGAATAAAAACTGTCCATCTATATACGCTGAGTGCAGAAGTTCAGTTTTGATCCACTGGAAAAATAAGTCAGTCAATGATCACATGCAGTAAGATATAAATAAAACTAGTTAGCATAAATGTCTACTTGGGATGAAATGATCCTACATGCAAAATAAAGCTCTGAAAAACAAAAAGAATATCAAAGTTATTTGGTCAAAGGAGTTTTCAGGTCCTATGACAGGTATCTCAAGCAAATATATCTGGTATGTATTTAAACTGTATAAATAGCTGGGAACTTGACGAATTATAAAGCCAGGGAAAGATGTAATTAAATCACTTTTCATGAAAGTGATGGCATTTCTTATTACAGGGTTCAGAATTTGCTGAATCACCATTTCCATTAGTCAAAGGTTCCCCAAGTCAAGATCTTTGCTGATCATCAGCAATCTTTGGGACACTACTCAGGGAGATTCAAGGTATCCTATCAGGGTTTATCTACAGACAAATTAATGCTCCTTGTAGGTGGCACACAATTCAATGTGCATCCGTTCCATGTTCTTTTGGACATTGATGTAGAAGAACACAATTAACAGCAAGGGCACTTGTGTTGAGAACTGCACAGTATGTCAGAAGGAACACACTTGCCAGGCTTTCCCGATTACTAATTTTAACTTAGTGTCAGCTCCTTTTGGAAAATTCTGTCTTGTAGGATGTAACTTCACCACTTTCACTCACTCAAAAAAAGAAAAAAAAATCATTTCCAGTAAAAACAAAGACTATAATGGAATAGTAGCTATATCTATGCATGCAACCACAATCTTTGCAGAAAAATCTGCTTAGCTGTCATCAAGTGGTTTTTTTTCCCCCTGAGGTAAAAAATCTGAGACATCAAATTTGGCAATGAAAATCTGAAGTCGTTTGAACAATTGGGTTAGGATGGAGCTGGTATAGTTGGAAGTATGTGTACTCATTTATCCATGTGTATGCTGACTGTTCGCCCAGCGATTCTCTCCATCCCCAAAACAAATGGCTGCTGTTTCTTGTGGGTGGAAGCCTGTCTGGCTGATTTCTCAATTCCTTCGGTAACATTTGATGGAACTTGCTTATGCGTCTCCTCTAACCTAACCGTAAAGGCTTTGACGGTGAGGACAATGAGTGGCTCACTCATCTTGTATCTCTGGCACCCAGTCATTTTCAATCAATCAATTAAAAGTTTTTGAAGAAGTTCAAAATGATTCTTACTTAACATGCTGTCACCAGGGAAGCAACCTGTATTTTCAGAGATAGGCTCTATCTTGCTGGATCTGCTAAAACTGAGCTAATTTGGAGGCAGAGAGATCTCAGTCAGAACCTGGCTTCACCATTTCCTTTCTGTGTAACCACTGGTAAGTCAACTCATCTCTCTAAAACTTTTTTTCTCATCTGTTCAAGGGGCATCGAATTAGTACCCGGGTAAAGGGGGTAACAGTAGCTTGTGGGTTGAGAAAATTGAGTGAATAATGCACATGGACTGCTTTGCCTGGCATCCCCCATGGAGTAGGCATTCCATAAATGTTAGCTCTTATGGCTACTATCAGTAGTTAACAATAAGGACAGCAACCAACAGACTATTAAAGGATATTCTCTGAGGCTGGCAAGAAAACATTAGACAGATCTGTTTCAAGGAAATCACTTCTTGCCAGTTTCACATGCTCGACTCTTCCAGGGCTGCAATCCACGGAGAGCTGAGATTTAAAACGCTATGCCACAGAGTAGTAAACAAGTTACGTAGGACCCCTGGGGGAGGGGAGTTGTAAATCCTGGGGAAAAGAGAGTTGGGCTGCCCTACACCTGAGCAGCAGTGGGAGGAGGGTTCATCTTTCTAATGGGTACTGACCTCTCCCACAAAGAGGGAGGCAAGGATCAGGTCAGAGGACAAGGCACACTGCAGGAGATGTGCCAAAAGAGACAGACTGTGGGCCATATAACTCTGCCATCAATTCGAGGTTAGCATTTACTTAACCATTCATCTGTTTCCAGGGACTGTGGAAGGGAGAGGTAGTAACACGATTTTTAAAAATCAAGTCTGTCACAGGAATAATTAATTCAAAAATTAATAAAAACCTAAAAGGTAGATCATAAAGAGAATTCACTTAAAAACTATGGCAAGTTCAGCAAGTCTGAAGTTTGTTATATATCTAGTTACATCTAATTCACGGCAAAAGGGGTACAGAATGTTGGACAGAAAATAAAACAATGCTCTTAAATGGAACATAAGCTTTAAGTTGACCATTTCATAATGACTTGAATATTACATTAGATAAAAATTGGTATTAGTAATACTGTACTCTTCTCTATCTGGGGATTCAACACTGTCCTGTCTGTAAATTAGCTCCTATGCCCGCTCACCACTCTTTGAGTGTTAGCCCCTGCCAAAGTAGGTAAATTTTGATATCTTTCTTCTCTAAAATATTAGGGCTGATATCCAATTCATATAGTAATTTAAGAAGTATCCCTACATTCATATTTTCTTCCATTCCTATTTTCTTACTAATTTCTTAGGACATGGTATTTAAATTTCACTCTTAATAACAGGTCAATATTTTGCAGTTTGTGAAAGTCTGGACAACAGTGAAGCCCTATCTCTTAACATAACATAGATATGTGTTCTACTTAGAAAAAGAGATGCTTTAATGATTATTAAATATAATCTTAAATGAACTATTACAATGTTGTTGAAAAAAAAAAAGGAGACATAGCCTTTACCCCCTTAAAATATACCTTAACACAAAAAGCTAAAGACTTATCAAAATATTCTATATGGTGCATAGGAAACAGACAATCCTAAGAGCAAGGAGGGTTTTAAAATTTCATTTCAGTTTAATTTATTGTGGCACTTATCAAGACTCTTAAGTCCACTTGTATTGGCTTGTATGTGGGATAAACAGCTGTGCAAATGATCTCAGCTTATTTGACACTTGAGGATATAAAAAGTGCCGTCTAGAAAAGCTGCACTCCATCCTGCTAGTGAATTCTTCAATAATTTTCCCCCTCCTTTTCCGCTGAGATAGGATCTAAGGGCCCATTATCCCTGCACTCTCAGCAGCATGGCTTCCGAGTCTAGTTCCTTCTCCACTCACCGTCAAGGCGCAGGTAAAGGAAGTTCCGAAAAGCAAAGTAATCCTCCATGATGGTCATGAGAGACGTCATCTGGCAGAAAAGCAGCACGCGGTGATTAGTCGCTCTCAATTTTGGCAGAATACGATCAAGTAGCTCAAACTTTCCTGAGGCCCGATACAGCTCAGCCCTGAACCCAAAAATGCAAAACAAGAAGACAGTATTACTGCTGTCTTCTTGAAGGAGCCAGTAGAGCTTTGCTTTTCAGAGAGTGCCTTGTGTATAGTAAACACTCAATAAATAACTATGGAATGAATGAAGGAATATCCACTCCAAAGCAGTGAGAGTATTTAATGGAATAAGAATACATATTCCTACAAAACTCATAAAGAGTGCATTATGTATGCTAGGTATGACAGAAAAGGAAACCTTTTCATGTTTCCAATGCTCTCTCTCTGTCTGTCTCTCTCATACATACACAGACTTGTATATGTTGTATTTCCTTATATCTCTACTTATTAAGTAGATAAAATTATTAATTTAGGGCACTTAAGATTCATTCAAATAGTTATTCAGCACCGACTATGTGACAAGCACAATGCTAAGCATGTGTATCGTGATAATCAAAATAGAATCCTTGCCTTCAAAATGAGTAATTATAAATTGTGATAAGTATTAAAAAGAAAATTAACAAGTTGCGACAAGAGAACTTATAGAAAACAACACGTTATCTTCTTTAGATGAGAGCAGAGTTTGACACACTTCAGCCCTGGCCTGCTGCCTGTTTTGTAAATAAAGTTTTATTGGGACACAACCATGCTCATTAATTTCTGTTTGTCTATGGCTGCTTTCATGCTACAAGGGCAAAGCCGCGTAAGTAAGACAGAGGCTTTTTGGCCTGCAAAGGTGAAAATATTTGAGGTCTGGCCCTTTAGTGGGGGAAAAAAAAAAAATTGCCAGCCACTAGTTTAGAGTGTCAGGGATGACCTCACTGAAGAGAGAACAGTTTAGCTGAAACCTGAAATAATGAGCAAAAAGTAGCCAGGTGGAGTATGGGAGCTTGAGAGTGCAGAGGACAAGATTCCAGGAAGTAGAAAGAGTATGCGCAAAGGTCCTGAGGACTAAAAGAACCTGGTGAGTCTGAGGAATTGAAAAAAATGGTGTGCATGGCTTAAACTTAAGTGAGTGAGTGGCGAATATGGAAGATGAGCGCAGAGAGGTAGAGGGTGGGAGTGGAGAGAGATCCTATAAGGCTCTACTCGCCACACTGAATGTATTAGTTTTAAGCGCAATTGTAAAGCCATTGACAGAGCATAAACAGGGGAGTGACTACATCTGACATTAGCTTTTTAAAAGATCACCATGTACGCATACTGTGTGAGAATGGACTGGGGAGCGGGCAAGAGTGCTGGCTTATACAGAAATTCAAGTAAAACATATCATGGTAGGGCCGGCCGAGTGGCGCGGTGGTTAAGAACTGGATTGGGACGCCAGAGGGCCCTGGTTTGGATCCCACATATGAGGGCCAGTGACGCTGCCCTCCACAGCTAAGATGCTGAACAACAGCTCAACCTGGAGCTGGGCTGCCGTGAGTCCTTGGCAACGGCCTAGGCTGCAGCCCCTGTGGCAGTGGGTTGCCATGGGCTACCGTGTGTAGCCAGCAGGCAGCGTGAGCGGCCAGCAGCCGCTGTGAGGGGCCATCCAGAAGCCGGTGACTGATCTGCCTCGCCCAGGAAGAGCGCAATGATGGTGCCAACTTGGGCCAGTGAAGCAACGTCCTCCACAACTAGACTGAAGAACAAAACAATAGCAACTTGTCTGTTCTCCTTCCCCCAATTCCCCAGCACTGTTCCCATCCCCCAATTCCCCAATTAAAAAAAAAAAATCTTTAAAAAAAAAAATCATGGTAGTATGTACTGCTGTCATATGGATAAAAGTGTCAGTGAGCCTAACGTAGGGCTTTTTTCCTCCACAATACATCACTTTTCTGTTTTATCAACGGGGATGTGGTACATTATTAAAACTTAACAGTAGGGTTGATATTGTTGGAAAAACAGTGCACGTGCAGTCTGTAACACTGAAATACATCATGTGGTAGCTGATTTTACGACACAGTATGTGCTATCTCTAAAGGACAGATTTTCAAGTGTAGGTCTTCCCAAGGTCCCTCCCCTGCTCTGAGAACTGTCCTCCGAACACCCCCTGTGGCTATGTTTTCAATCTGTAACTGTGGCCAACCTGATGGTGCCAGGACTGACCAGAAAACCCAGAGGAAAGGGAGGCAGGGACAAGCCTGAGAGTCAAGTGACTTTGTTTCTGGATGGAAGTCAAGTGACTTTGTTTCTGGATGGATTCCAATCCCTGGTTCTTAGCCCAGTGACACAGTCTGCCCCGGGGACCCAAGAATGACCCCTATATCCTAATAATACATTTTCCCTGGTACAAAACAAGCAAAACAGAGACTTTCTGTTAATACAAGGTTCTTTTTTGTTGTTGCAAGGCATGATTCTCTTCGATGTCCATTGCTAATGAAAAACATTTCTTATCCAGATCATATTCTAACAAATTACTATAAAGTCATACATATTTATAGTAGATGAGACATTTCTACTCCTGCATGTTAATGTTAAATATCAACTTGAAATTTAATATGATAAATCCTCTCTGCGCCCAAGCTACACTATTGGTTATAAATAACCACCTTTTGAAGCTCCGACAACATTTTTAGAACTAGGACACTATTAAGTCTATTAAGTGAGATCTATGTCCTTTGAATAGCCACTTACTCAAGGCATGTAGTAATTTATGCCAGTAAAGTAAAAGAGAATGCTGATATCATTCTGGTTAACAACTTCTGTACCCTCTGCTGAGGAGAGGAGGGCTGAGGAGGATGGCAGCATGTATCTGTATGATAGCAAACACTGTAGAGAGACAACTTTAGGTAAGACCAACAAACTATTTTTGGAAGAAAAAAAAATTAAGATTTACCCATTGATGACCCCATTTGAATAGCCCAGGTGTTCAGCAAAGGATTCCTTTGAAAGAAAGAGAAAAAGAAAATGATTTAAGAAAACAGATATATAATTATTAACTTAACGATTAATCTTTTAGCGAGGTCACCCTATCGACTTCCAGAGTTTAGTTATATGAAATAATAAGTAACAAATACTTGTTATAAGAGGAACCAGAAACTCAATCTCTTTGAATTCAGGCTTTTGCTCTGCCAGAAATGTATAATGTATCCTGTGAGTTTCTGCAAGTCTCTAGATTCTCATGCTGAGATGACAGGGTTAGTTCACTCATTAAACATCACCTGGCCCAGGGCTGAGGTAGGCAGGTACCGGATCCAGAAACAACGAAAATATCTACCCCCAAGGAGCCTAGGGTCTAGACTAGAGGAAGAGCTGAACGTAAGCAAACGAGGACTAATATGTACACATAAATACAGTGTGAAAACATTTAACAACAAACATAATGGTGATCATATACTGTATTACAAATCTTAGTGAAATCCTAGCATCCCTTCCATACTGTGCTTTTCTTTTCCCTTTTACAAATATGGCCCTGAGTGTACACTGCTCCCTCAGGTGTCCACTTCCACTTTCAACATACAGAACTTAATCACCTAATCCCCTCTTCCCTGATTCTGTGGGAGAAATACATTAGTGTTCTTCATGTGATTTTCCCATTTCTACTTAAGGAAAGGGAGACCATCTGTGGGGAAGGAGAAGATGTCACACCTTCACATTAGCCAGCAGCTGTCTCCCTTTCCTGCTTCCCTTCCTTCCACGATGAAGCTTTTCCTCCAACGGGACCAGATAGTTCCCTTTGAGCTCTCCTCTCAAATATGCTCATTGTTTACGGCAGGCCCAGTCCCTCAGAACGCTGCACTGATAGCAAAATTAACACATGGCAAAAAAACAACAACAACTCACCAACAGCCAAAAACCCCACTCCAATTCACCCCCAGAACACGCCCTCTCTCTCCACAGGAAGCCATTCCTTACTAGATTTTGAGGTTCCAACCCTATCTCTAAGCAACAGTTGTAAAAACCAAAGAGACAGCAGGGGTCGGTAGACGGTGATAAGATTAGGAATCAGCATGATTTAAAAAATACTGGCTTGAAGGCTCCTGGTATGACTTAGTCTGAACAAAGGTTGTGTAGCAAACAAAACAAAGACAAAGGCACAAATGCACACACCATCTCTGATCCATACCTGGAACACATTAGCCAATAGCTGTGGCTCGCTTTCCTAGGAATATGCTCCTCAGAGTCTTTTATGTTAAAAAAACTGCAAATCAAAGTCTGTTTTTCTACTGACTGCTATTTAAAACGTAAATATACATGCAATGGAGGGCATGTTACTCAGCCTTTGCTCATTTTATCACTGCCACCCCCACCCCCACCCCCACCCCAGGTGCTGCAGACAGAAGCCTGAGGGAAGGACCATCCACCTGCTTTCCTGACATGGCCTAGCATGCTTCAAAGGTTCATTTTTCTATGATAACCAAAACGAAGTAAGATTGACACTAAATTTTCATAATTTCTGAGTCCTCAAACCCCTCTATATAGCAGAATAAGTATCAGGTATCTTAAAATTATTTTTAGAAAAAAAGCGATGGTGGGTGAGGTTAACCTGACATGACCGTATTTTCATTTTCATCATTAGGCTTTCTTTCTGGCTCGCCCCAACCCAACATACGCCCCCTCCCTCCACACTAATTCACGGATACCTTACATCGTTTAACATTTTATCTGTTTACAAGATGCTTCCTATGTTAATTTTTTTTTTTTTTTTTTAAGTTTACCCTCCTGCCAGCCCTGTAATCCATTACCACTGATGACAAGTCAAGCGCACTAAAGCCTGGAGATGCTGAGTGATTTACACCATGTAAGTTTTCTAAACCCCAGGAGGAGCAATCTGAATTACAAAGTGGTCTGGGGTATGGGCTCATTGTACACTGGATTCCCCTTTCACTCTATGTCTAAATAGCTGTGGCCTGTTTGTTGGTTTTGTGTGTGTGTGTGTGTGTGTGTGTGTGTGTGTGTGTGTGAGTGTATTGTTGTTTTTTTTAATGTTGCTGTTGTCATTTTACCTAGATCTCAGACTTTTTAGTCTATAGATACTCTGCCCTATGGGCCCGAAGGCCAGAGCAGTGTCAGGAGTCTTGCCACCACAGTTCCTCACCACAGTTGGGACAGGGCTCCTGTATATAGGGAAGGTTTACAATCAATACTCTTACCTGACAAGTAAGATTACCAAACATAAGGGAGAAACAAAAGAATCGTCACAGTCAAGGATATTCAACCTGATTTTCATGCTGTGATTCTTGACTCTTAACTTCCCAGAACCTTCTAGGTATTTATTTGTTAATACACTGGTGCAGATACCCGAGCCCTGCAGTGCCCCGGGCCCCTGCGCATGCGCAGTGGACACAGGCACTACGCTGGCTGAGAATCGCCACCAGAACCATAAGCATCAGCAGCCACACACGGAAGAATGGATGCCACAATTTGCGGCTCTTTCTCCGTCCTGCTCACGTCAATCGCTCCTCCTGGGGTGAAATGCCGTCAATTTGGGAAACTTATTCACATGTAGTGAACACGGCAGACAATGTCCTCGCCCCTAAAAATAGCATCTTAGAGACCAGAGTGTCACTTTAAATTAAAGGCCCGAGTTTATGTCGACGTGATAGAAGCCAGAAGGGAAAAATACAAATCTAAGTAACGGGCCAAAGTCATTGTCTTTTACAGAGAAAATATTTCCAGAACATTTTTCTCTGTAACATGCATAAATACTTTATTTTAATATTTTTCACAGCATCCTTCTGAGAAAACTGGATGTATTTATCATTATCTTCAATTTCCAAGCTCCTACCATAAAACAAGGCAATTCGCAGTACTTACCCAAACCCACACAATGAGCCATAGCTTACAACATTTTCTTACTACTTTAAACTCTTGGTTATAAAATTCCAGATGCTCAAGTGCTTGGTGCCAAAAATAATCCATAACCAGCAAATTCACATTTATCAAGTCTTCCCGTTAAGCTATGAGACCATGTTGTTTCAACTCCTATATAGGTATTAACCCTGTTGTATTTTTTATTTAAAAAAGCCTTAAGTAGTATTAGTAGGAATAGCACAGTCAGAACCAGGGTCAAAGCAGAGAATATGGACTCACCTCAATGTGCTGAAACATGTATGGGTGATTGCATATTTTTCTCAGTTGCATGATAGTGTTCATAAGTGTCTTAGCGCCTCCCTTCCCCTAAACACAAGTGGAGAGAGTCAAAGCAGAACAAATAATTAACTGACCATATAGTTCTTATTTTTAAAAAATGGACTTCAATAGAAAAGGCAAAGCGTCGGAGGTCTTCTCCGTAACCTGAACCTCTTATGGTCCAAACTTCCTGTTATAACATAGCAGTTTCTGAGCTCGATATAATACCTTTCTTGTGACTAAATTATCCTCCAGGAAGGAATTTATGTCAAGTTGATGGGTTTGTGACATGACTGTCTATTCTCTAGTATTCTGGGAAGACAGAAGCAGCACAGAATAGATGCCCAAGAAATGGAAATGAATGTTCAAACCTTCTCTAGTGCCACCCCACATTTAGGTGGAATGCATTTTCTGCAGAATTCACATGAGTAGAGCTAACTATTTTGGTGATATGAACACAGTCCTTTCTTCCTGCCCCAGTGCAGTTTAAATTCAGAGGTTAAGAGATTTTATTTGGCAGCTACAATCGCTACAAAAACAAATCCAGTAATTTGCTTTAACAAATCAGCATTAGCAGGATGCTTCCTGGGAATATTTCCTGTCACAGACATGAGAAGATGTACGACGGCACATCTTCTGCCACATACCTTCTTATCTTTCTCAGAACCATCTGTGAGGAGAATCCCTTTGGCTTGCATATGGCGATAGAGAATCTTCTGCAAAGCTGACATGTCACACTTGATCACATATTCAACCTGGAATCAAAAGAACAGTAAGTGGGGTAAGAGCAGGAGAGAGAAGGTGCCTGCTCTAAGAAGACTCGAGACGCAGCTGCTGGTGGCATTCCTGGAGCCATGAAGGTATCTGTTTCCCCACATGGGTTCCTGGAGTGGAGGATGGGATGGGGATTGCACTATCATTGTGATGGAGGGGTCTTCAAAAGGTTCTATGTAATTGAGGTTAGGGTCGTGTTTTCTGAAACTTCTTGACTTATTCCGTATTTGAGAGAGAGAGAGAGGCTTGAAAACTGTTCAAATTCAAAGACGTTTAATGTGGAGGATCTTTTTCTGTTGAGTTGTTGGAAAAGTCATGATGCATGTTTGCAATGAAAAATACAGAAAAAAATACGTCACGACTTTTCTGGCAACCCAATAGTTCCTCTGCTTCCCAACTATACCCCCATTTCATATGAGCAGAATAGTTTTAGGAAAAATAGTGACTGGCCAATTTCCCATGATTTTCTTTTATAAAACATTTTTTTTTTAAATGGTCATATATGGTTACTCCCAATACTGATCCTAAAGTGAGACTTACAATAATAGTCTTAGGTTGACTATCATTAACCCTGCTTTTGAGAGATGAGACGATGCTACCTAGTGAGGACAAGTGGAGGAGAAGCACTAATCGTAAAGCTGGACTCAACTTTATGACCATTTACAAGGCAAAGCTGCATGTATTCCATTTAAAACAGTGTAAAAATCAATGTAAAACAGAGAAAGGGAATTCACATGCCTGTGGGTTAGAACACACCTGCAATACTTCCAGCACGCTCCTGATGCATATAATCTGCCCTGATATTTTCCTATTATTGTTTTTCTTTATTAAAAAAAAAATCCCCAGAATACAAATGTGCAATTTTCATAATAAACGTCAGATGAATGCCTAGAAATCTGCAGAATGTGATTAAAAGTAAATCAGCAAGCTGCCTAATGTTTAATAAACTGATTAAAAGTGATCAGGTTATTTTCAGCTCTGAGGACCAGAGTGAGGAGGTCACAGATGAAGAGAAGTTGAATATTCATTTGAGTGTTGCTTTAGAAGGAACCTGTCGGGCCCAACAGACCCACAATTAATAGTCTCCTGCCACTTGTTTTGCTGCACCAGATCAGAGAAAGGCTGGCTCTCTTGCAGAAGAGCTGAGAAAAGCAGGTGACCTTCCATAAACTTGTTTTGGTTTTTAATGACCTTCTTGACCAGGGCGGGGGGAGGGGGGAGGAGTCTTGGAGCTTAATAAATAAGAATGCACTTAATGCAAGCTTTGTGTTTTAAATACCTGATCACATGATATTTTTAAAGTACACCTTTCAAGAGATGTGAACTCTCAATGAAATTTAATCATGGTGAAAAAATGTTAAGTAACTTCAGACAAGTATAATGATAAAAATGACACCAAGGCCTAATATTATCGAGCTTTTTATAGGGACCAGGCGCTGTGCAAAAGTGCTTTATGTGCCTTGTCTAATTTTACCACACAAAAGCTCTGAGAGAGAGTTACATTTAGAGTCCACATTTTATAAATAAGGAACCAGAGCATCAGAAAGGTTAACAGATTGACGCACAAAATGATACAGCTATTTAATGGTGCAGTTAGGACTAATGGTGGGTGTAGTCAGGACTGGAAACAGGCCACTCTATCAAGTTCTATGCTAAGGATGGCCAAGCAGATGTTCAGGCTTCTCAGTTCTACCAATGCTCACCTTCACCTGGGCCTCCTTGCTGATAGAGACAGCCATGCTTGTTTTCAAGTGCCTTAGGGCACACAGATGCAGGTTTAGAGACAGAAACCTGAACCCCCTGCCCCTCAGTTACCTACTGCTACGTGCTGGAGGAAGCAGGCCTGCGTGATGATACCATGCAGATAGTGATGTCAAACATCCCACAGTGGTCAAGTCAGCAGAGAGGATGACCCTGACCTTCTGGCCTTCCTCTCTCGCACCCTCGGGGGTACCAGAAGCTGGTGCGATCGGCATGATCAAAATCACCGTCCTAAGCTACACACCTATATTTACCTGTGCTCCCTGCACCTTCCCGAACAACTCTAAGCTATTTTGTTTGATTTTGTACTTTTCTCCAGGCCTGGGGCATTCCTGGGTCTTAGCGCCTCCTTTTTAATCCTACTCTACCTTGAGGAGTCTTTTTAAGATCTTCCACAATCACCATATCTATCAGCCAAAGTCAATTTTCCCTTTCAGTTCCCTCAAAGAAGTGGTTACTAAGCTTTTTTGAAGGCATTCCCTAATCAGGAAGACATGTTCAATAAAGCACATCTTCTGAGTACACACCTCTATATTTATTTATAAATTATATGCATGTGCTCACGTTGTCTCAAGACAAGTTACTTTTAGGGTACGAGTAAAGGCAACTGATTTCTACCCATATTTCAAGGAGCCAATATGATGACATCTAATTTTTTTTTTTTTTTTTGCCAATTCCTATCCAAGTACCCCATGATGTGGCTGATAAAAACCCACACTAGGAACAGAAGAGGCAGGAGACTGCTTTCTCATTGTTCACCTGTTCTTGTTTTCAACCTGTAGAATCTTTTTAAGCCCTTCGTCCATTATGGGGGCTGGGTTATTAGTTCAGTTAAAATCAGATCCTAAATTATTTTATCTGGGTACAGGGAAACCCACAATGCCTCACAATAGGAACCTGGCTGTGAGGCTGAGTGGACTTTCAGATGCCTGAGTAGTGTGCGAAAACCTAGTCTAACCCGGGCGTGTAATTAACTTTCCAATGTGCACACTACATGGGTACCAGTGTCCATCTGTGTTAAATATCAATAAGATTTAATTTTTTTTATCTGTAAGAGAAGAATTAATATAAATGGAAGTTCTAAAATCTTTCTGCACCCCAACGGACTGCTAGTAAGTACCTCTCTTCCCAAGTGCACACTCCTGAGTGTGTGCTCTGAGACCCCTGCCCTAAAACGTGCATGAATGCCTGGATTGTTCATCCCGATGTCACCTTTGGGTGATGTCACCTTTCACTGTCACGCCACTGTTCAGTGTGAGTAGATCTTGTCTCCACACCAAGTCTGTTGACCAATCATATGATGCCTCCTATTTCTGGTGTAGCTCCTGCCCCAGCCTGAGTGCGTATAGTGCATAGGACAGGCCATCAGAGCTATGTGTCAGGACAGACAACAACTCTAAAGTAGACACACAGACCAACAGTGAAGAGGCGAAGGAAGTTTCTGTGATAATCATGCCACTTGAAACTCTTGGATCTGACTTCGCCCTCCAAAAATGTGATGGCACCTGATTAGAGCATGAACATGAGAGTTCCTCAAAATGTGCTGGTGTTGTAGGAAATGAAACCTATGACCCTTTAATAGGGATGATTCCCCAACAAGTCAGGTTTGTGAAAGCTTCTGGGGCTTTTTCTGTTCAGATTATATGTGTAACTGAGGTGCCGACCTCATGTACATGGTAATTATCTCCTAAGAATTCTTCTGTTAGTAAAAGATCAAACTGGCCCCTACGAGGAGCCAAATCAGGTGATTATACCATCCCCGGGTCTCCTCCCATCAAACCCTGTAGAAGTATTCAAGCTTTATTCATAGTTTCTGCCTGAGTACTATTCTTCACTTATAATTCCCCTTCCAAAAGGATGTATTATTGGAACAATGAAGCTAGACTACTGTGTGTGATATATTACCACTTTCTGAATAGAGATTTCCACACAATAAGATGAAATGTATGCAAGTCACAGGTTCTGGGATCTACAAGTATAGCATATGGGAGGAACAAAATAATGATTAATTATATCAATTATTCCAAGTTTTTACATAATGAGTATAGAAGTTGCCCATTTAAACAAAGCCTTTTGGTTGTTTTATATAAATCGTATCAAAATCAGGATGGATTTTAGGTAGCGCAGCCTCTAGTTAACCTCAGACATTATCTATGTATTGTAGTCTATGTAGACATCAGTATCTACACAGCCCATTGCAAATACAGTTGGTTCTTTTTTTTTTTTTTAAAGATTTTTATTGGGGAGTTGGGGGGATGGGAACAGTGCTGGGGAATTGGGGGAAGGGAAACAGACAAGTTACTGTCCTTTTGTTCTTCAGTCTAGTTGTGGAGGACATTGCTTCACTGGTCCAAGTTGGCACCATCATTGCACTCTTCCCTGGCGAAATAGATCAGTCGCCGGCTTCTGGACGGCCACTCACGCTGGCTGCTGGCTACATATGGTAGCCCATAGCAACCCACTGCCACAAGGGCTGCAGCCTATCCCGTTGCCATAGGCGGGGACTCACGGCAGCCCAGCTCCAGGTTGAGCTGTTGTTCAGCATTTTAGCTGTGGAGGGCAGTGTCACTGGCCCTCATATGTGGGATCCGAGCGGGGGCCCTCTGGCATCCCAAGCCAGTTCTTAACCATCACGCCACTCGGCCAGCCCAGTTCTTTTTTTTTTTAAATTGTTTCTCTATTATATGAATTAACAAAAGGGAGAGTAAGCAAAGACACAAATGGGAGCCAAACCGTAAAATCATTTTTTATTTAGCTTAAGTTGGGTTTTACATAATCCTTTTTCTACTAATCGTCCTTCTTCCCTGAGTGTAAGGAACGGCTTTTATGCCAGCAGCTAGGCGGTGGTGTTGGGGGAGGTGGGTACAGTACATTCCCTTGTTCATTAGGTGTTTCATTAGACTTACAAAATTATTAACTACCCATTGATTAAAACTAATTTTCATTAAATACTCATTCATTAACACTAATTTTTCCATGAAGTAGAGCTGTATTTCTCAAACTGTGGCCCTTACATTCCTGCTTTAGTTTCATTTGACGAAACAGATTCCTGAGGTCTCTCCAACTATACGAAATAGAATTTCTGGGGCTAGGATTGAAATTTTGTGTTTTTAAGTGGTTTTTTCCTACCATAAAAGTCAACAATAAAAAAAGAAACAACCCAATAAAGAAAAACAGGCAAAAGATTTGAGCACCGCAGCATCAAAGAAGACAGATGGAGGCCACATAAGCACATGAAAAGATGCCCAACATCATTTGACATTAGAGAAGTGCAAATTAAAGTTACAAGATATTAGTATACACGTATTGAAGTGGCTACAAATGTTAAAAAACTGACGATACCCGATGAGTACTGTTGAGAAATTAGAGGAAGTGGATGCTCATACATTGCTGGGGGGACTACAAAATAGTTCCGACAGCTCAGGAAACAATTCAGAAATTTTTTATAAAGTTATGTATACGTTTACCATAGGACCAAGCAACCCTACTCCCAGTGAAATGGAAACCTATGTTCATATAAAAACCTGTACACAATGATTAGTGCAGCTCTATCCACAATCATCAAAAACTAGAAATAACCCAATGTCCCTCAACCACATGAGTAAAGCAACTAAGGTGCATCCAGGTAATAGAATACTATTCAACAATAAAAATGAACCAACTATTGATGCATGCAACAACTTTGATGAATGTCAAACACACTATGCTGAGGGAAAGAAACCGGATGCAAAAGGTCTGATGAGACAGGCTGTCTGAGTCCCTTCATAGGGCATTCTGGAAAAGACAAAGCTATAGGGATGGAGGACAGATTAATGGTTGCACGAGGCTAAGGGTAGACGAAAAAGCAGTAGCACCAGGGAATTTTTTGGGAGGGAAAACTGGGAAACTGAATAGCCCTGTATTTTAACTGTGGGTGTGGTTAACATAACTATGCAGCTATCAAAACTTCTAGAAATATATGTCCAAAGAGGAAATTTTATTATACGTAAACTAAAAAATAAATTCTGCACCCTCCCTAAAAAAATCAATAAAAAAAAATAAATTAAAAAACACTTCCCTACCTGATTCCTTTTCAAGAAAACATTTGAGAATTATTGGTAAGGAATATTTATAGTTAGCTTCATTCTGCCTGGTTTCTTTACACAGGCACAGAGACATCACGTTGTTTGTGGCTATAAGCAAACTGTGGCCGAAGAAAACATCCTTACCCCCAAGGATGACACTTAAATGGCCAATTTTCCCCTGGTACAAAAAAATCCTCATGAAGCAGAAAAAGTAGAGAATAACCATTGCCAAAGCACATCAATAAGGCCACATAGGGCCGGCCAAGTGGTGCATTGGTTAAGAGCTGGCTTGGGACGTCAGAGGGTCCCGGTTCGGATCCCACATATGCAGGCCAGTGACACTGCCCTCTACAGCTAAGATGCTGAACAACAGCTCAACCTGGAGCTGGGATGCCGTTAGTCGCCAGCGATGGCGTAGGCTGCAGCCCCTGCTGCAGTAGGTTGCCATGGGCTACTGTGTGTAGCCAGCAGCCAGTGTGAGTGGCCCTCAAGCCGCCGTGAGTGGCCGTCCAGAAGCCGGCGACTGATCTGCCTCACCCGGGAAGAGCGCAATGATGGTGCCAACTTGGGCCAGTGAAACAACGTCCTCCACAACTATACTGAAGAACAAAATGACAGCAACTTGTCTGTTCCCCTTCCCCCAATTCCCCAATAAAAATCTTAAAAAAAATAAACAAATAAAAGAAATAAGGCCACATACCCATGCAAAGTGATTAGTCCCCCCCACTGGCCATGAGAGGGTCATGGGGACAGAAATCAGAAATGTGGGAGGGTCACCGAAAGAGCAAGGATGAGACAACAGTGAGAAGTCAACAGGAGAGCAGGACCCTCCATTAATAGTTAGAAACAGCAACATGAATAGAAAATAAAGACTACGGTAGCAGCAGCTGTCACTAGTTGAGTGCTTATTATGTGCCAGGCCCAGTAGTATGACTACTACCATCTGTCTACTTCTCTCAACAATTCTGTGAAGCAGGTATTATTTATTTTCTAGCTCACTGATAACACTGAGACCCAATGGATTCACTGCCTTGCCCAAGTTCACGCAGTTAATAGGACAGAGAGAATGCCATGGGGACTCTGGTCTACTCTGATGGCAGAACCTATGATTTCCACTCCACCAAGCTGCCTCCAGGAAAAGGTAGCTGCTTATCCATAGATGATATATCACATACAGGGTATTTAATATACCGCAACTACCATGCTCTGAGTATTAAAGAGTACAAGGAGGGCCGGCCGAGTGGCGCAATGGTTAAGAGCTGGCTTGGGACGCCAGAGGGCCCCGGTTCGGATCCCACATATGAGGGCCAGTGACACTGCCCTCTACAGCTAAGATGCTGAACAACAGCTCAACCTGGAGCTGGGCTGCCGTGAGTCGCCGGAGATGACGTAGGCTGCAGCCCCTGTGGCAGTGGGTTGCCATGGGCTACCGTGTGTAGCCAGCAGCCAGCGTGAGCGGCCAGCAGCTGCTGTGAGCAGCCGTCTAGAAGCCGGCGACTGATCTGCCTCGCCTGGGAAGAGCGCAATGATGGTGCCAACTTGGGCCAGTGAAACAACGTCCTCCACAACTATACTGAAGAACAAAATGACAGCAACTTGTCTGTTCCCCTTCCCCCAATTTCCCAGCGCTGTTCCCATCCCCCCAATTCCCCAATAAAAAATCTTAAAAAAAAAAGAGTATAAGGAGACATACTTTATCACAGGAGACATACTCTTGAAAATCTAAATCTTAATTTTTTTTTTAAGTTTACTAGTATTCAGGAAGCTCTCTTGTGGAAAGAACTATGAAATAAATACTTTAGTAAAGAATTCCTTTGTGATATAACTGATCACCCCATACTTTTTATGCTGTGAAAGTTTGGGTTTTGTATAATGGGTTTTCTTAAAACAGGGCACACTTTCAACTTGTAATGCATTTGTAAAAATCTATCTCTATTAGCCTGTCATGGAACAAATAAACAATATTAAGGAGTTTTATGGAATGAATAAAGGAAGGACTTTAGTAAATTGCTTTTTATTTTATACCTCTCCTAAAGAAACAAAAGGAAGTATGGGACAAATTAAAATCTTTACCATTCCAACTGCAAACTTGTAGGATCTCAGTAACAGTATGCTGGGAAGTAGCTCAAGGCAGCCAGCCACGTGACCACTGTAACCACTTCCTCTGTTTCGCTATCAGTAACTAAACTCCATATTTAACGGAAAGGGGGTTACCCAAAGATGCCAAGACCAACAGTATTCAATCCCCAAGATGCATTCACTAGCAAAGTAAATAAATGTTTAGGCTTTTGCTGGAATAAGCATGCTATAATAACCATGTTTGTTTTTAATTTTTTTTCAACTGTTAATGAACAGGGGATTAGGGAACAAAATTCTCTCTCAGCAAAATGATCAAATTGTGCACACTATTTGCCAACTCCCACTTAAAGAACAGGATGAAACAATCTGTCCAAAAAATAGAGTCATTACACAGAAAAACACAATGATGCAAAATAACACATTTCAGAATGGGCTCATCTAAAGAGAAAACGCAAATCGAAATATCTCATGTTACAAATAGTATACAATGCCAAACAATCTATCTTTAAGAGAATAAAACTTAGAACTCAAATGTATGGAGTTCCAAAATATGATCAGAAACATTAAACACATACCCAAATCCAATCAAAAAAATGTGGAGCTAATGGCTCAAGAGACATTCTAAAACACTGAAAGCTCAATGTCCAAGAAGCAATCTGAAAAACAGTCTCTCAAAATGTTCACAGGAACTTAATTTTTATGGTGTGGGACAAAAAAACATTCTCAAGAATAATTAGATGATGGATCTATAATTCGCAGAAACTCTATTTTTGATTTACTGTCTGAATGATGACGTCACAAGCATCAAATATTTAAATTTCCAGTTCTAGCCAACTTGGCAAATGTTTATTTTACTAGGCCCTTTGGTAATGATCTAAGTCCCAAACTCAAATCCTTATTTGGCTCACAGAACACTTCTTGTGGCACCTGCAGGCTAAATTCAATGAGGTTCGTAATTTAAAAAAATAATAATCTAAAGTTAAAATGCAATATTAATTAATGTAAGGCTAAGTTGCTGTAAATTAAAGATAAAATGTAATGAGACTCAATGAATTTGGTAATCTTATAAAATCTGCCCAAAGCTTTTAGAAACCAGGCTGAATCTACACTAAATCCTCTAGCTTCTATCAAACAAAATAGTGCTTTAAGGTATTTCCAAGATACCTGTAACTAAAACACAAGCCTGCTGTTTTAGAAACACAATTTCAGGTACAGGTACTTCAACTATATTGGCAGGGGAAAAACGTACAACTTTTGCATTTGCAACATACCTTTTCTGGAAGCTGGGATTCAACTTCTTTCTTCAGTCTCCTCAGTAAAAATGGTCTCAACACCTTATGTAGACGTCTGATGATCAATATGGTTTCTTCTTCATTTAAGTCCACCTACAAGACAATCATAGATGAATTTAATTTTTTTAAAAAACGGATGTTTCATGTAATAACGCTTTGTGTTGCATTTATTACTCATTTCAATATATGATTGAAATTTTACATGTATTAAGTCCAGGTTTATACCTGGTCACGTACTCAGAGCTCTCTTCCCACCTGCCTACCAGGTGGTAATAAAATCGCCTCTAAATGGATGTTTGTCTTAATACTGAGTTTGTGGAAAAGGGCTCATAAGCTACCACTTTTATATCAGTAGAGTCAACAGCTCAGAATTTTATGGGATACAATTGGCAATAAAGACTGACTGAAGACAGATAGAACACAAGTAAAGGGGCAATAGTTAACGTGTTCTTATTTAAATTGAAGCATTAACTTAGGCTCTTTGTCTCAGATGCAAAAATATACCAAGGGGACAAGGTTTGAACACGAAATGGAAACGAGTAGATCCAATGTATGTAGGTGGGTTTCTAAGCCCCATTACCTCACTCTTCCATTTTTCTGCCCTGATCTTGTTCAAATTTAGTCATATTTATAAAATCCTCTGCTTTCTTTCACCTTCTTCTGTTAACCTCTAGCGGGCAGAGCTGATTGACTTTATCTTCTACAAATGGGCAAGCCAATTAATTACTGAGAAAAGGCCAATGACCTCAAAATTAAAGGGCTAAATAGTTCCAACAGAAATTTCCCTAAAACATTCTTAGTGGCTTTTCACTCCTATACTTAAGAAATCACTAAAAGGACATGTACCCATTTCTTTTCTTACAATGGCCCATGTCTTCCTTTTAGAAACGAGTTCTAAGAGAAGAGAGATAGTAGGAGAAAGGATAATAAGAAATTTGAAAATGGCTACTCCAGGATTTGAAAGGTATTTATGTACAAATAAAAAACTGAGGTTCACACTAAAATCTAAAAAAAAAAAGTGTACAGGAAATTTACGTAAAGTAGCTCAGTTTTACACACAAACTTTCTATAAAAATAGTTTAGAGGGAAGCCTGTTTGTAACAAGGAAATATTTGTTTTATGGTGTGTGTCCTGCTGGTTGAGTTGATCAGGTTAAACTGATTCAATAAATAACCCTACATTCATCCTCGCTGTGGCCCATAGGTAGCAGTTAAGCATTCCACCATTGTGAACATTCTCTGGTGGCCTGATGAACATACTGGCAAAAGACAAAGGAATTAGGACGCTCCACACATCACTAGATCCATTTTCTTCAGAGGGGAAAACACCCTGAAATGATAACATAGCAACTCACTAATTAGCTTTGTAAAGTAACATTGTATTGTAAACCACCCCGTAGGTTTTCTGTCGCTCTTATGTTCTCAGCTTTAGGTCTTTTCATTCAATTTAATTGTCATTCAGTGGAAAAAACAAAAGTTAGCCCAGTACCCTTTCTCCAGTCATGGCAAATGGAGCGTTAAACCACTGTTCGAATGTGCTGCAGCTCTTAAAAATTGTGGGCAGGAGGAAGTTGAGGAGGGCCCAGAGTTCTGGGAGCTTATTCTGCAGTGGGGTCCCCGTCAAGAGGATCCTCCTGGGGGCCACGTAGTGAGTGTTCAAGACCTGAGTCAGCTTGCAGTGGTGATTCTTCATTCGGTGGCCTTCATCCACGATCATGTATTTCCACCGAATCTGTAACGTAAGAGGAAGGACCAACATGTGGTGAGCAGAGGACAACAACAACTATTTCCAACAGGCAAGTGATGGAGTGGAAAACCAAAGAACCCATGGTTGATACAAGCTATGGTGCGAGTCTCCTTAGGATAAAAGAACCTCACCAGTCTGTTTCCCACACCTGATAACATCATGTAATACAGTATATAATAATGAGAAGTTAAAGCAACAATGTTCCTTACAGGCCATGTAACTGCAAATCACCCTTTCACAAAGGAGGACACCTGGGCCCAGAATGGAACGGTTGGGGGGCCAGGACTAGCGCCTGTGATTCCCAATCCAGTACTCCTTCTGTTAACACTGTATCATGACAGCTGCCCCAGATTTAATGGTCACGCTACCTCTGCTCCTCTCCACTTGAAGTGGAATTTAATGGCTGATTTTTCCAATATTACCTATAGCTGAGATACTCTAGCTTTGTGCCTTCTTCTCTGTTACGCTAGCTGACTACTGCCCTTTTGGGCTTGGCTCACTGCTCTTTTTTTTAAAATTTGAACTAGTTGCTAACATTTAAAAGTTAGAATATTTCACATAAAAAGCTGTACATCCAGCTTCTTTTAAAAAATCCTGGCAACTGGACTCTCTCAGTTCACACATACTCCTTACCTGCCAAGCCCTTACCTGCCAGGTCTAGGACCCCTGTTTTAAGATATCTAAAATGAAATAACATACTCACCGGCAGGGAGGGCAATGCTAAAACACCATTCCTCTATTAATGCTAAACCTTCAGAATTACACAAAATATACTCCCACAGCACGACTATCACTTCCGAAGTTAAGAAGGACCATATGTCACAATCTTCCTTCCAAAGTCTACAAACAGTCCTCTTCCTTTGTCACATTTTACCCTTCAGTCCAATTCAAGGTCACTGTTCTCAGTTTCTTAAAGTGAGAACAATGAGGAATGTTCCCCTAAGCCTATCCATTCCCTACAAAATAGCGGCTATGGCCAAGAAAAGCATCTGGTGCTCAGATGTCCCTGCATCCTGCTGCGAAGCTCCCAGGGAGAGGAGGGAGATGGGCAAAGGATTCCATACAGTCCTCTACTTCCTCATTAGAAGCATCAGGAAAGTCAGGGGAAAACAAAATCATCAGCCAGGCTGGGATGTTCAGGTAAAAGAAATCACCAGAGTTTTGTGTTTTTTTTCTTCTTCTACCACCTCTAAGCAAGTGTTTAAGAATAATTAAATTGTATGATCAACTGTCCTAAACTTACCAACAGCACGAAAAGAGGCCAGCAGATAAAATGTACTTAAATAAATCATCTAAATCTATTTTCCTGCCTAATTTGGCTTATGAAGTAATAAGCAAGGAATCAGAGGCCTTAGATTTTTGCTAGTGGATCTACAACTAATTAGGTCTTCCACTTGGAAAAAAAATTACTACCCTCTTCTATAGCTTCACTCCTCCGGTAACAAATACAAGCAATACATCTCGTTACCAGGCATCTCCAATGAATTTTGAAATAAATATGCATAAGACACAATGTAAATTTGTTTTAAAGGATCTCAAATGTATAAACACATTTTGATAGTAATACTGAAAACACATCATTTTTGACACTGCCAAATTCATCTCTGAGCATGAGGAACAGGAATACAGCATTGTTGCCAGTGCCACCTCAATTATTAAACCTCCCCTGGGAGCACGTTTCCTTTATGTTATTTCCTGTGATGCCATGAAGGGAACACTCAGTCCCCAGAGCAGAGGTTTAGTGCGGAGATAGAACAAACCCCAGAAATGAGGATTCTGTTCAATTCTGGCCATAACTTAGTTTCAGATTATAGTGCTTTCAAAACACCACAGGGCAAAAGAAATTACTAAAGAAAAAAAAATTAAGTTTTCATACTGGCTCCGTGAAAGAAACTACTTCCATCATTCTACATGAACATATTAGGAGGCAAGACGATATAAATGGAAAAAAAATTTATATTTTATAGCTAAAGGACAACTTAGGACATACAAATTAGGAGACATGTAGGTTGCAGGCAAAAAAAAAAACCCCACCAAAAACAAACCTCTTTCCCAGTGCCAACTAGTCATAGAAACAGCCCACAGTAATTTGAACAATAATAGCCCATTATTTTACCAGGAAAAACCTAAAACAGGGATAGCAGAAAAGCTGCAGCTCAGAGAAATGTCCATATGGAGAAGGTGATACGAAGAGGTGCCTACTCATCTTTGGAGAGACAAAGGCACAAAAGGAATGAAGTTTCGCTACTGACAATAACCCAAGGCAACAAACACAATTATTTCTTCCACAGCGCATTCAGGGCTGCTGGTCAGAAAAAGAGTTGCAGAAAGGAACCCAGGTGAATTTTTTTTTTTGAGAGACGTAAGCTCATTAACTATGAGAGGATAGGTTAAGAGCCCCAGGATCAATGACACACACCAAAAAAATAATATGCATAAAATTAAAACCTATGACCGAAATGTATCTGACTCAGAAAAAAAAAATGAGAGCAAGAGAGAGGAGAGAGAGAAGCCATTTAATGATCATATTATACTAGTAAGTATAATTTGAGGAATACTTTACACTCTGGTGCAGTGGTCCATAATTAGAGATAAAAGAATGTTTTTAAACATACCTTTGCCAGAATGTGCTTGTCTTTTATAATGTACTCATAAGTAGTCAAAAGGACATTGAATTTGCCACTCCGTAGCTGGGGGACAAGGGAGCGACGCATGGCAGGGGTGCCCTGAAGAAAGAAAGAAAAAACATTATATATCCCAATGGAAGTATGTGTGCATTATTTCTCACTATTCAGAGCCTAATGGAGCCCAAACACGTGACTAGAGATTGCACATATATGCACGATCATATACAGAATGCATTATCCATGAAGAAAGTGCTCAGCGAAATCGCACAGGTCTAGACACTTTTCAGACTCTTATAGAGAGGCTTTCCCACCAAAAATTGAGGGGAAAGAGAGAAAAGGAAATTACAGTGACCTCGAGCTAGCAGAGAACCTGCTGCTCTGCTGAAAGGCTCCATTTCTATGGGAGCCTGCAGCCGGCAGCCTGGGCACCTGGGTAATTGCCTAACTTTGCAGGAACAGTAGGCCCGGCAGCACCAACAGTGAGCCAGTCAGCAGCACGCAGAATGTGTGGTATTTGTCATTTGTATTACTCTCATCAGAAACCTCGCAATATGATAATTAACAATTTTCTTCTGCATTTCACTATCTGAAAGTAATTATGGTTTATTACAGTAATCTTCTCGGGATGATTAACTCTCCTGTTTAGTACATGATGTACATGACAAAACTTTACAACCAAATACAGTTCACAGATGTGCATATGGAATGAAGAAAACAGGGTCTATTTTTTGCTTTTCCACGTTTATATATAAATACAGCATTCCAAACCTTGTAAGAAATTTTCACCACAGAAGGAGCCCATTTGTCAAATTCATATGTCCAGTTAGAAAGAGTCCTATAAAACAAACAGGAAAAAAAAAAGACATTTGTATAAAAGTCAGTGGTTAAAAAGATGTTCTTATTTATGTGCAGGCCTCACCTTGAAAGGGGCTAGAGACTATAAAATATCTCAACTACATATTTATGTTAAAGGTGTGGGAATAACAGATAATTTAGAAATAAGCTGCCACAAAGCATGACAAGTTTGTTGTGGGCTCATAAAAAAAATCTCATAAGAAAAAAAAATTAAAGAATGCATTAATATAGAAGGCAAAAAACAACCCCCTAAATTTTAATATAGTATTATAAAATAGCAATTGCCAAAGTGATTTGATGAGTCTTTAAAAACAGCCATATACGTTCAGAGAACAGTTGAGTCAGGAAAAAGAAATTACAAATGCACATGAAAATATTAAATAAATCTGTCAAGAGGGAGCAGGGGAAGAAATAATGAATGCCTTTTTAAAAAAATCCCTGAAAGCATCACCATAATGTACAAGTCAGAACATGTAAACTAGAGATAAAAATCAAAATACATATTGAAAACATAGACAAAATGCAAAGAATATCTAAATACTATGGATTCAGATAATACAGATTAAAAGGGTCTGCAAATAGTCCTCCTATAGAAAAAGATGTGAAGAAAATATTAAAACAGAACCTTTATTTTTTCCTCAAGTTCCAAGTTTATATTAGCACTGAGATCCTATCAGTGATTAAAACTGCAACCAAATACCCACAGCCAGAGACACTACACGCAGGGAAGGAGGCTGTGAATAGGTCTTCCTTCTCTCTGGAGTGTCCACTAAAGAGCTACAAAGAACAATGCAATAGGCGGGACACTGGGAACTTCACGGTGAACAGCAAAGACCTGTCCTTACAAAGCAGCAAAATCGCTGAAAATAAATTGCACATATTGAAGGACATTTAACACAAAATTCATAGTTAGGATTTTTACTTAGATTCTGCTTTAAAAGATACAATGAAGGAAGATTTCAGGATATATAGTCTTTTAAATATAGGTAACCTTTTAGAAATGGAACAAGGAAAAAAAATCAAAGAAATCTTTAAAAAAAAAAAAAAATCAAGACCTTTCCCCTTTGTGAGCCACTTACAGAGCGATGAGGAATAAGGCCCGCTGTACAGTGTGTAGGCTTTGTGGACCGCAATGCTAATTAATGGCTGATAAAATCACCTGGTCCAGAGCTGAAATAGTCAACCACAGAGGCTGGGAGTGGGGTTGGGGGGGGTGGGAAACAAAAACCTAAATCCAGACTTCTTGCTGCTGGTAGCCCCACTACATGCTACAATTCTGCCTTAAAGGTAAAACAAGGACAAGCTACTAATAGGGCACTCGACAACAGTCAGAAAGACAACTGCAGAATAAATGCCTTTACTTACGAAAGGGGAACAATGATGAGATAGGGGCCATTGAGTCTTTTGTGCTCCATCAGATAAGTGATAAGTGCAATGGTCTGTATGGTCTTTCCCAGCCCCATTTCATCAGCCAAGATTCCGTTCAAATTGTTATTATACAGGGAAACCATCCATTCCAGGCCCTGGAGCTGAAATGAAGAGTAATTGCTTCAATTATTGAAGATCTGCACAGGTAATTAATACTAATACAACTCAAGTGAGGCTGTGACTTCTTAACTCCTCAGTGCTATAGGTTGGATTTCCCACAGTAGGAAAGCAGGGGAAGCACCAACACAAAAAGAACTTAAAATATGAGCCTGTAATCATCCCTGCTGCTTGGCAGGTGCTGAGTGTTAATCAGATTTAGAAATGATGGGCTGAAGCATACTGGTGGGATTTTAAGCAGCTTTGCTGCTCATCCCTACTTAGCATTTCACAGTATATGACATTCTAGAATTATTATAAATGAAGAAAACCCAAACCAAAGCCCATTCCAACCACTCCAAGAACAAAAAGCCAATGTGAGGATTAAAGACAAATAAAACCAGGAGGCAGGTTTGGCTCACAGATCCGGATCATTAGAAATAGCCTTCCTCTGGCAGAGTTCCACTGGCAAAGGAGCGCCCCCCTCCAGGGCGGGATCCCCTCAGGGAGGAAGTGGGGTGACCAGGGAGCCAGAGCTCGCTGCTGGGCGCACAGGAGGGCATTTCCTGGTGGCAAGAAACCTCCCAGGCAGCAGTGTGGGCACTCCCCAAGGGCTAGCACACTGGAGTTGACTGCCTGGAAACATGCCCCACGTATTTGTAAAGCACAAAAGCACTGCACCAGAGATGCAGCTTTAGGTTCCCTGTGTTAAGTACAAAAAATGTGGATGAAAATATGAAGTTGTTAAACCTCCCTCTCCCAACCACCAATTCCCTTCCACCATCATAGCACAAATGCCGGGTTTAGGCTCAATTATATATATATATATACATAAATATTAAAGTCAATTTAGCATGCTAATAAAGTTATACTTAGGGAAATGTTCACTGGAATAAGTTTTATGTAAAAACAAAGTGAGTGATTCATTTATTTTAAACTTTATGAAATGATTATTCCGTGCAAGGGACCATATACTGTACATGGGTACCTAGGTGTGTCAGATGCATAGCTCCTCCCTTCAGAAGCTTGCTATCAAAGAGGAGAAAACAAGCCATTCACATATAATATCACATGCACCAAGAAATGGCTGGCAGTGCCAATGTCCTACGTATAAAATTGTATTGGCCAGAGTTTTTCTGAGGGAGAGCACTGCAATGGTTTGAAGAAATACTTTCACATGCCATATGCAGTTTCTGTGCCACGTAAGACTCCAAGTCATCCTAAAGGGTTCTGCAGAACAACAGCAACACCAAGAGATTGGGGAAAAACGGGAAGAGCCTTTGAGAAAATGGACAGAAGATGGAGAGGGGAAGTGAGGAAATGACTGGGAGCCCTAACTGGTGGTTAAGATGAGCGGGGTGCCTGTGACATGACCCCGAGATCACTGGGCCTTTAGGAAAGCAGCTAAATGCCAGAAACATGTGAACATTTGGTTGTAGTGAATTCTTCTCTAAAATGAAAATTGGCAAACGAGCTGAATTTTGCATCTGTGTTATCCCACATAAAACAGAAGCAGAAACTGGCAGCAGAAGGGACTAGAAATTGATGAATATTGTGGGAAGTGATTTGGACTTTCCTAGACAGTGGGTTTGGAGGGGTTGGGTATTGAACCAAGCTTACATGGCTTTCCAGGAAGTAACAGGAAGGCCTTAGCTACATCAGAGTTAAATAACTATTAACAATACAAAAACTTGTCAAGGAGCAAAAAGATAGAAAGCTTACTCATGGACAGGGTGATCCAAGAAGGCTTTGACCTACAACTGGAATTGTGAGAAGTGGAAATAATCTCATCGGTCAGATATAGGTGATCAGCGTCCAGGAAGAAGGAACTTTATGAGAAAAAAGCCCCAGAGGACGTATAGAGCAAGGAGTGTTCTGGGATCTACTGCAGCCCAGTGCAGGGAGAAAGGCAGAGCGTTCACATGTGGAAGCAGCGCAGATAGGTTTGAAAAGACAGTGATAAAGAGTGCTTAAAGGGGAGGCCGGGTGGCTCAGTTGGTTAGAGCACGAGCTCTGAGCAACAGGGTTGCTGGTTCGATTCCCACATGGGCCAGTGAGCTGCGCCCTCTGCAACTAGACTGAAGACAACGACTTGAGCTGAGCTGCCGGTGGCGGCCGGATGGCTCAGTTGGTTAGAGTGCGTGCTCTTAATAACAAGGTTGCCGGCTGGACTCCCGCATGGGATGATGGGCTGCGGCCCCCACAACTAGATTGAACACGGTGACTGGACTTGGAGGTGAGCTGCGCCCTCCACAACTAAGATCGAAGGACAACAATCTGACTTGGAGCTGATGGGTCCTGGGAAAAACACACTGTTCCCCAATAAAGTAAAAAAAAAAAAAAAAGTGCTTAATAAGGTGGTGGATGGCAGCAGAAATAAATGGGGCATTAAGTTATTCATGAATGATCCAAAGACTGCATCTCCCATACGCAGACATACAAAAACTTATTAGAACATACTACATACTATGAGTTAACATCTACGTCAGGTAGACCAAATAAGATGACCACCACTTGGAACCTCATGAAAGTAGCATGGTCTCTGGAGAAAACATGACCTTATTGCAGCCAGAGCAGTGATTGTCAAAAGTGTGCTCCAGGGACTCCTGGGGGTCCTCAGACCCCAGGAGATCCTCAAGGCCAAACGATTTTCATAATAACACTAGGGCGTTATTTACCTTTTATATCGTATTGACATTTGTACTGATGCTGCAAAAGCAACAGTGGGTCAAAATGGCTGGCACTTCAGTCCGAATCAAGGCAGGACTGTATTCCTGCCTTGTATGTATGTATGAATGCAGTAGTCATTGCATTCTTCACCCCGGGGCCACGGCAGCAAGCACAGTGCCAAGTTTTAAGAATGTAGAAGCCCCAAGTCCAAAAAGTTTGAGAACTGTTGGTCTAAAGTATGTACTTCCTGAAGCATAGTCTAAAAGACACTTGTTTTATAAGGTGATATATGAAAACAAGGCTGGGTGGCCAAAGAAATTTGGGAAATAGAAAGTTAAAGTTATTTTATTGCAGGACACTGATGGATTATACATTTCTATTTGTAAAGTCATGAATGTGCTTATATATACCTTGGATTACCAAGAGGGGTCCCTGTCAGGGTGCCCATATAGCTGGTTGGCTCAAGGCAGGCCTGGCTTATGCCATATCAGTTAATAAGGGCCCCTATTCACTCTCACGAGTATCCAGATTTGGAATAGCATATTATATGGGAATCCTAGTCACAGCTGATAGGATTTCCCTTATTTACTTGAATGTGGAACCTATTTTCTTTTTGAGGTACGCCTCATGGGACAAGTGTTCCAAGGAACACACTTTGGCAAAGTAGGAGACAGAAGGCAGGAGCGGACCTCAATCCAGACAGATCAAGTGAAACGTCTGTTATGTTTACAGCCCAGTTTTCATCAAAGCACAGATCTCACCACTTCACTGCGACTTAAAAAAGGAAAAAGCATAAAGGTAATAGACAGTGACTCCTAGGTGGCTGAATCCATAGCATCAAACTATTAAAATTTTAGTAGCCACCGCTGAAAATTCTCAAGAAATAACTTCATTTGTTTCCAGGTTAGATATAGGTTCCCTGTACTCATGAAATGTGCCTGGGCTTTCCATTTTGAAGAGATCCACGATGAAATGGTTCCACATGTTAAGCCAGGGTTTCTTAAAATGCAATTCATCCCAAAACCATAAAAGAGGAAGCAGATATGCCCTAGTGAAGAATGTAAAATGGGCGTGCTCTAAAAGCAGAGTCACAGGCACCATGGAAGAGAATGTCAATATTATAAGCAGTGTAACCTAAAAATGCCTCACCGTCATCAAACGTCTTAAAGCAATCAACATGTGCATGACATATTGCAATCAAAATTAGGTAACAGGCTGTGACTTCCCACGGAAACATAAACCACACCAATTACCTGATAATGCTTCAGGGTCCCGTTGATAAGAAGGGCAGACTGCTTCTCCACCCTCTCGGAGATGGCATGAGCCACGGTGTAGTAGGACTGGGAGCCACCCCTTGCACTGTACTGCATGCTATATTCATCATCCACGTCCTGTTTAGCTGTCCTGAGACAGAGAAAGCGGACAATCACACACAGGCATTGTGGTGTGTGTGTGTGTGTCATTTTATTACATTAAAAAAAAATGAATAGGAAGCCTAAAATAGCTGCAGTATGTACACTTTATTTATCACCTATTATTTAATTGCCTGGCAATTAAAATACATGATCTGTAATCCTCACAACTAAGTGAGGTGAACATTATAGTTCTCATCCCCATTCTATGCCTGTGGAGAACTTCAGGCTCAGAGAGGTTAAGTAACTTGCCTGGGTCACAGAAAAGGTCGTGGAGTTGGTCGGAATTTGAACTCAGGCCTGCTTGACCTCAAATGACTGATTTGAACATGAAACCATACTGCAGATGAACTTTGCCTGTAAAGCTGTCCTCAGCTCTGAGGATGCAAAAACAAACCCTACTCACAGAACACTGTCTAAAGCTTGGAGGACAGGCGAGAGAGGGCTGATATCACCATTAAAGAGATAGGAAAGAGGAAAGGTAGTCTTCCAGTTTCCACACCTGGTTAAGGAGCTAGTATTTTATTCTACCGGCAATGAGGAGTCATTGCGGGGTTCTTAAAACCTTCAGTGAAGGAGGAAGGCAGACTGATAAAACAACGGTTCCTAAAGTAGGGCACAGAGCCTTGCAATAAAAGGAGAAAATATTAGAATATCTATTTCTGGTGAAGAAAAAAAAATTTCATCACTTTATAAAGTTCTATTTGGCACAGTTTCACCATTTTCATTTCATATGACAGCTGTACAAGCAAAGAGCTGTGTAGACCACGGATACAGAGGATGAATGGGGCTCAGCACAGGGCGGGGCACTCAGATGGGGGGAAAGGAGAGGGTTCCGAGGGTTCTGGGATGTTTGCAGGCAGGAGTTGGTGGCTGACTGGCTTGGCACTGAGGACAGTGCCAGGAATGGTGCCTCTCACGTGGGCTTCTGGGTGAGTGTTGATGCCATTAAGGGAGGAAGGGCCAGACAAGAGGGGCAAGTCTGATCTGTTCAATCTGGGATGGAGGGCACATGACGGGTGAGAAGCTCAGGACGGAGCCAGGGCTGGAGGGAGGAATTCAGGAGGGGCGTGAGGACGGGAGGAAGGTGACAAGGATGGGAGGAAGGCGACGAGGACGGGAGGAAGGACGTGAGGATGGGAGGAGGGACGTGAGGATGGAAGGAAGGTGACAAGGACGGGAGGAAGGACGTGAGGATGCGAGGAAGGCGACGAGGACGGGAGGAAGGCGACGAGGACGGAAGGAAGGACGTGAGGATGGGAGGAAGGCAACGAGGACGGGAGGAAGGAGGTGAGGATGGAAGGAAGGACGTGAGGACGGGAGGAAGGCGACGAGGACGGGAGGAAGGAGGTGAGGATGGAAGGAAGGACGTGAGGATGGGAGGAAGGATGTGAGGACGGGAGGAAGGCGACAAGGACGGAAAGAAGGCTACGAGCAACCCAACGCCCTCGGGCCTGGTGGCTGGGAGCTCAGTGGTGACGTCTGACAGCAGCATTTCAAGTGGAGTGTGGGCATGAAGTCTGCTTCCTTCCTTCAAGAAAAATTTCTAAAAGAAAATCCATAAAGCCTCATCCTCAGGAAATGCATGTGCAAAGGAGAAAACGCTTGAGAGATACACACTCGATGATCTGCTTAGCGTCCTTCTCGGAAACTTCTTCACTGTTTGGATCCAGAAGTATTTTCTCTTCGGTTTCCTGCCGACTAGACTCTTCTTCTTCATCCTAGGGAAGGAACAAAGATACAGGGAAGATTCCATTTCTAACAAGGGAATCTCTATGATTGGCATTTTCAGAAAAGAGATTAAACAGTATTGAACTTCATAAAAAAGCAGTATTCAATTTCACAAATGAAGTAAATAAAATTAAGGGAGGAAGTAGATTTAGCATCTACCTGTACCGGACAATACACACCATTCCATTGCTGTTTAAATCATTGAATGAGAGAATGAAAGGAACCCTCTGAGGATCCCCTAGAACTTGTGCTCTCAAGAATATATATGTAAAAATCATGCCAGAAAGAGGGACATGTATCATTGTTTAATTATCAAAGAGTCCTGTAGACCATATCTCTCTCAGTTACTTAATGACATCCTATATCCTTCTCCCCAAAGCCAGACACTGGAGATCTTCGTATTGTCGTACTCATAAAATTGTTCTCTCTGGTAATGCCAGTGGGCCTATGATGGCCCCGCAGGTGTTCGTAGGAGCGGGACTGGAGCTTACACACACACTGCTTCCTGTGGCGAGTTTATATTATAGTGAATATTTAGATTAAAACTCGAGAACTTGGCAAAGGATTTATCACCTCCCCACTTATCCACTATGGACTACATTCTGCTGATTTGTTTGAAAGCTTCACTAAGTATATCAGTCCAATAGTAACCACTGGTGTTGAAGGCTAAATCTTTCCAAATAATACTGTCCAATTTCCTTTAAAAGTAGACTGAAAGAGAACAATGCTTTTCCCACAATTCTTGAAATGAAAAAAATAGGATATGACACAATATTAATGCTAAAAATCAAGGCTATGATCACAGGTCATTGAGACACCGGGGGTATAAGCTGAGGAATCAGCACAACTCATTCCTTTTCCAGGTGAGGAATGCAGCACTGACAGGGGACAGGACTTGTCACGAGTGGCAGACGTGGACCTGGGTCTCTGAACCCCGGGTCAGAGTTCACTCTATTCCCAGCTATCTAGGGCTGTCTGCAGTTGTCAGTCTCAGGCTGGCATATGCAGTTAAGCAGCCCACTTTATCTCATCTCTGTCCTCCCCGGCTCTCTTACTCAATGAGCAGATGCTTCCAATAGATCATTTATGGGCCCATTCATCCATGTAAACTGGAAACATTTTTAAAATTGATTTTGTAAGCTTCAAGTATCTCAGTGAAAGGGTAGCCTATCAAAAAAAAATAGCGTGGCTCTAAAAGTATTTGCTTTTTAATGGTATGTTTTTAAAAAGAACTTTTATTATTTTTCCTCTTTGCAAAGGCAGTAAGTATCCATGATAGATTAATGTAGAAAACACAGGTCCACAAAATAGAAGGGAACAACAATTGTTTTAAAATCCTAAAGAAAAAAAAAAATTCCCCATTCCCCTTATGGACCGGCCAAGTGGCTCAGCTGATTAAGAGCTCGCTCAACAGTGCGAGCTCTGAGCAATAGCAGTTCGATTCCCAGCCCGAGCTGAGCTGCCGCTGAGCTGCCAACAGGTGGCAGGATGGCTCAGCTGAAAAAAACCCCACAAAAATCCTAGTGAGCTACTATCAGTAAGGCTGCTCTGCCTGGGTCCATGGCAGCCATGGCACTCCATGAACCAAGACTCCTCTACACAGGTAAGCATCAGATTTAATGGCAGCACACCAACATTGCTCTAATAAAGGAGATAAAAAGCTTCTCTATTTGTAATTATTAAACATTTCATAGTTGACCTAAAGATTTATTATTTCTTAATTTCCATTGATAGTATCCAAGATTCCCCTTTTAGGTTCTAGATATATTGAATATTCCTTCCAAGAGACTGAAAAACGTGTTTCTCTTTTGGTGACATGTATATCCAAGGAATTCAAACAGGAATCACATTTAAAGAGAAACCAAGAGAATCAATTAACTCACTAAACCAAGCCCATGTTGGCCTTTTCAAGTAAGCTTCTAAACCTTCCACTTCAAATAGACTCTAAGGCCACAAGGACTTCAGAAATTTTTAGGCAGCGGACCCTCGGCAGACCCACTTGGCGGCATGGGACTGTCTTTTTCCAAGGAATCCACCTTCAGTTCTCCCCAAAAGACCTTCCCACCACTTCCAATTTAATGACACCTTCTCTGTTCTGGGTTCCAAATATATTTAGAATTTTCCAGGTCTCCCCATTGGCCAGAAGCCCCCAAAAGGCTTGTCCTACCAAAGTTCTGGCAAACCCTCAGCTCCAGTCATCACCCAAAGGCCAACACTGAAAGAAGGAAGAAGCGATGGAACACAGGTGCATCCCTCATAAACTTTTAAACCAATCAACTCCAGACAGAGATACATACATACCTCCTCCTCATAATCAGAATCACTCTCTTCGCTGTCAGACCTGGGGGCAACTTCGTAACTACAGGAAAAGGAGTGAGGAAGAAGAGGGGACTTAGCTCCTTCAATTATAAAACAGTACATACATGCAAGACTTAACTACCATGTTCTACGTGAAAATGACAAACACAGGTAACAATTTTAACCATGTCAGCCAAGGTCATGTTGTTTTAGTTCCAAGGTTTTACAAGGACCACAAACATCTAAAAAGCCAAACACCACCAATAATTCTACTTGAATGCTGTACCCAGGATTCATTTCCAACCAGGCGTCCAGCTGACTTGCTTTGGGTGCTTCTGGTCCAAATAGGACCTTGCCGGTTTCTGTATGAGTCACTTTGACAGGAAGGTCACTCATCTGACTGCTCTCATCTATGGGCTAGAAAGGAGGAAAAACAAAACAAAACAAAAACACATCACCGCTTGGTGTTACGATGTTCTCCTAGTTCTGCGCTGGACATTTCTTAGCCTTTTGTCTGCCCAGCATCTGAAGCCTTTTTCTGTGATAGATTTCATTACCTAATGAGTCTTGGTGGGAAGTGGGAGACCACCTCCTACTAAAGAAATGGAAAACATAACACCAGCCTCCCATTGGAGCTAAGGCACTGACCGGCACAAGACCTCAGCTCCACCGACTCGATGCACTCACCAAGGCTCTGAATTAGGAGCTAGAAGTTCAAGGAGGCAGGGACCAATAGGGATGCTGGTGGGAGGGCAGACCACAGTGGCAGCAGTGCCAGTACAGCAGTAATCACTGTGACAAGCTCCTGCCTACTTCCAGCGTCAGCCATATCCTCACTAACCGGGTGGATAGTACAGTATTGAGTGTAGCCTCTAGTCGGGTTCTCCAGGCTGCCTGGAGAGTTGATGACTTACCCAACATCCTATTAACACACTGCCTTGTTACTTAAATCAGGCACAGTTGATTTCTGTCATTGGTAGCTAAGAACCTAAACTCCCACATAATAACCCCCCAAATAATGACTATTGAGTACTGCAACATCATGGTTTCAGAGATAATGGGAAGAGGAAAAGGTATGCAACTGTGTCATCTCATTACTGGCCAGTTTGGCTTCTGCAGAACCAGTGTCCTTTACCCAAAACCAAACCACCAGGTATCCTGACCAACCATTGGTACCTGTGTGTGATAAAGCAAAAAGCTCTGCTCATTTGAAACCTGGAGAATAGACCAAGACTGAGCTGAAGTTCATTATTAGACTGTCAGTGAAAAATGGCTTGCTCAGAAAATTAAGATAATAAATGAAATTGCAGAAGCCATGCTTAACCTACTTCAAAGAACAAATTGTTTTAAAAGGCCTAAAATTGGAGTAATCCTATGCAAATGACTGCTACTGATTAGAGGGTGACTGTACTTCTGGGAGCAGACCCTCCAGCAAAATGTTTGTTTGGAAATGCTTGATTTTGTGAGAGGTTCAAATTATCTCCTTAAAAGCAATAAAATTCAATGTTTGGATTATTCATTAATTCCAAAGAATTTGTTCTAAATTATTCTTATTTGGAGTTAAATAAAAATGAGAGGAAACGTAGAATTCTGCAGGTCATCTTCTGTATCTAATGGGAAATGACCTCCCACAAAATTGTTTCTTTCCCTCTTCCCCCTCAACAAAGTGCTGTCAGAATTACAAACAATATATTAGTGATTATCCACACAAAAATAACCTTTGAAAAAAGAAAAGGCTTACTCCAGACTATCATTTTTTCTTTGACGTGTGCTAAAGCCGTGGTTGCGAACACCATTACTTCGCATGCGCAGATGATGTCCCTTCCTCTTTAATGTAAAAGGTCACCCATATGCTCACGTGATAAAAGAAGGCAATCTACCATTCTCCCTCACCTCCCTTGGAAAAATCATATCCCATGATCTTCAACTATTATAATATAGCTTGTTTTATTGCTTTAGATGCCATGCCTCCAAGAAAATTGGAATTCACTGTAGCTGGAATAAAAAGTTTGGCAGGAGCACCGAATGAGCACAGCCGAGTGTAATAAGAACATTATTTCAAAACAAACTGAGCAAAATGTCCACTTCGCCAACTTCAGCAAACAGAACACAATGTGCTAAGATTAAAAGGAAGAAAAAGAAAAGGTGTATGTTACAGGCCCAACATGAGTAGGTAATTTCCCCAAGAGATAATAAGAGATAACAGCACTGTGGCACTAACATGTTACATCTCTCCCCCTTGTGCTTGGTAATTACAGACCGATGTGATGCGTGCTTAGGTAAGGCTGGACTTTTACAAATTAAGACTGTTTCTAAGTGCTCCAATATATAGTATTCTTCCCCCTTAACAGCCCACTGAGAATTTCTTCCACATTAGACATTTATCCTGATCCTTTCTTTCCTTGTGATGGATTACAGTGGTTAAGCAACATTTATTGTTCAAGAGGTTTCTGCATAGAATTGTGGTTTCAACCTTTCTTCTGTATCCAGGCTGCTTGCTTTCATAATACATCTCACATGCACAGTGATTCCAGAATGGGAAGAGGCAACCCCCCACCCACCCCAAACTTCCAAGCAGGTTTATCCGAATCTATGAGCGGCGAAGGCAGCCAGAAACAAACTCCCTCCTCATCCTGATCTGGGGTTATGTCTCCTCCTATGAATCACTGGAAGAGAACCTTGAGTTTTCAGAAGGAAAAAAAACCCCAGTAAATGAATAATTGTATTCTCATAATTCAAGAGAGTATTGGAAATACTAGAAAATAAAGTTTAGGAATATGCTGATGAATCTACAAACAGAAGCTACATTGTAAGCTTCTATAGAAGCTGTCAGAAAATAAGTTAACCGAATATGTGAATTGTTTGGCTTATGGAGTTTTAGTGTTTCAGATTAGTTTTAAACTAGGGAAAACAGGTCATAGTTTATACTTCTGTATCATTTACTGGGCAAATGGAACCATAGAATCACTGAAGATTTGTATCCATTCTAAGGATTCATACACATATTCTTACATGTGCACAGAAAATTCTGGAATGGTACACAAGAAACTTAATGTAAGTTGATTGGCAGCCTGAGAAGGAAGATTACTTTTCAGTGTACCCCTTTTATACTGTTCTAATGTTCTACTGGTGCTAATGTACTACTATTTTTACTTAAAAATGAATAGCTGAGTAAAGATAAAATTAGTATACATAGACAATGGTACTTGCAAGGTATGGCAGGGACTTACAGAGAACACCGTAAAAATGGATGCAAAATCCCTTACCTCTCCATCTGGTCCCAGGGCAGATTCTCCTCCCTCTGCGTTCTCTTCGGCCTTCTGTAAAACAACAATGTGTCAGATGTGACGGGTCAACCAAGAAGATGGGTGTAGAAAGGGCTTCGTGGCAACTCTTGGGCATGGAACAGCAGTTCATTACTACTCGTCATCATCGAACGAAGCCTAAGTATCAAGACCTCTTATTTTTATTTCTTTTCCACTAAGACAAAGTATGTACTTTATTAGAAACTTGCAGAGAGTTAAAGCCAGGTTTGATTCAAGACCTGCACCCTAGAGATTTGTGGAGTGTGTCTTCTAGGATCCAGACTGTTTAAGACATAGCAGCACTGAGAGAGAGGTCAGGGTCTGAAACGTTCTCGTGTTTGGCACGAAGACGACAAATCCTGGGGTAATCAGCTCCACTTTCCCATTCCCTTAGCAAGTTTTCTAAAAAATGTCCATGGAGAATAAACTCTGAGCCGCTCCTGAGTCATAAAAATACAAAATTCTGTGAGTTTCTCTGAATTTTTTTCATTCTACCTAATGGCCTTTTATAATATATACTATTTCCACAATGGGTATATGGGGAAATTCGATGTAGATATTGTGGTCTCATAAAAAATTCTGTCATCTACCATTTCTTAAATATTCCAACATCTAAGTCCATCACCCTCTACATACAGCCTAAATGGAAAGCGAAGGTTATGTCACATTTTGTACACGCCCACGAGAGTTCCATCTGCAATATACGCAAAATGGTCTAAAATTTCTTACACTTAGAAAGACCTCTTTAACATCACTTTTACAGAATTCTCATTTTAAAGTTATTGCTGAAAAGTTACACTACTTCTGGGTAGTATAATGAGAAAAACAAACAAACAAACTTTAGCCATTTGCTTTATCAAGACATTTAAGAAAATGAGCTTTCCTCCCCTGGACCCTTCAATTAATTAAAAATGTATAGAATGATACAGAATCAATATTAACTCCACTTTGTTTACTTAAGGTATCAATTGTATAATACATTTTTGCTTTCCATGAAAATAACTCCGTTGTCTCTTGACAGCTTTTATAGAAAGTGTTTAAAATCCAACCTCATGTCCATACTGAAGAAATGCAGTTCCCATAAATGTCTGAAAATTTTGAAGCCCTTTTCTAATTATCTTGCAGAAATAGATGCATGTGTGTATGCCAAAGCACAAGGCACCGCTCCCTTTGATCGTGAGTTCCCAAGAATTTAATCTTCTGTTTATGCTACCCCAAAGTGAAAACGTTTACAAGCTCAAAGGGAAGGATCAGGATAGAAAAGCACCAGGCTCTACGTACAGGCTAGAAATACAGTGAGAACGATGGCAGAAAAGCTCAGCAATGAAACCAGCCCCTGAAGTGTCCATTTTTGGAATTCTCAGGCACTCTACTTAGGCAACTGTTTTAATTAATGGGAGAAAGTCAATTAATCCCACCATTCTTTCCATACAAATCAGAAATAAGCTACAAATTTAGCCAACAAAGAAAATCAAATGAGACAATGAATAAGCCAATTTCCAGGATCTAGCTAGTGGAACTGGATCACCATTTCAATGAATAATACATTAAAAAGCTTTAAGGACCATAAATAATAGAATCAAAATGGTTCTAAAGGATATTCTTCTATGAATATGCTATAGACTAGCAAGTGTGTTATCTCAAAACTGCCTCATAATCAGGCCCTTTCATTACTTAAAATCTTCTAAACTGATTTTTTAAATTCCACTAGGTATCAAATTTGAGAGGCAAAGTAATATTAGATTTAAGAAACTTGGTTCTGGAATTAGACGACCTGTATTTGAATCCCAGCTATATCACTAAGTGTAAGAGACCTTTGTTGTTGTGATCTTGAGCAAACCATCTCTGTGTCTTGGTTCCCTTAAATTAGGGGCAGTCATAGTTCCTCGTACACCACAGGGCTGTGGCAGGACTGAGTCACTATTTCAATATGTACAATTCAACGTCATGTGTAATATACACTGAGCGCGTCAATCTCTAAAATGTAAAAGAATCAACAATAGTCTGAGGGCTGCCCTTTTATGTGTCTATAAGACTGGCTATAGCACTGTCTGAAAACTGCTTCATAAGGTTACAAGGTCAGGGATTTTTGTCTGTTTTATTCACTCATGTATTCCTATACCTACAAGAGTGCCCGGCACTTAAAAGACACTAAATAAATTATATTGTGAATGAATGAATGAATGAATGAATGAATACAAGCAACCAAGCAACAAGAACAATGCAAATGCTCAATGAAATTATTATTATTGTATTTAGGTGCCAATGTATTTGCAAATCCAAACAGTTAAGAACACACACAATTCCTCATTGAACTAGCGCTCTGAGGCTGCTCGTGCATGCCCTGTGTTTACACTAAATTTGGCTGTTATTATATGAGGTGGAAGCCAGGTGGCAGTCTACTCTATGGCAAGAGATGCCAAATTCTCCCATCATGCTTTGGATTCTTTCAGGTTGGTGAAGGTTTCTGGTTGGTGTGCTTTCTTTCATAAATTCATGTTCTCACATCAAACTGGAACTTTATCCCTCTCCGTCACCGCCCCCCCCCAAAAAAAAACATTCCCTTTTTTCTGGTTCAAAATGAACACCAAACAGGTTGTGACTGGTGTTGCTGTTTGAGCTAACTTTTGACAGTCTCTGAGCACCTGGTGAAACGGCCTGGTGCTGATGTGGTAGCTGCTATCATGTCTCCCACCGCCTGAGGAATTTTCCCATCCAGTTATCTGTATTCTGTGATTGCAAACACATTCTATCAATATTGACGGCTGATGCCTGAGTTTATTTCCACTGATTAAAAGCAAAACACTGAAGTTCATCCATTAATCGGGTCTAAAGGAATTTTGTACTGGCTTCTTCCTACCTGAAAAAAGGGTGGAACTAATGATGCTCATGGAGGAAAGGAGGAGGGTAATTAGCCTCGTCATGAAACAAATTACTCATAAAGACAATTGGGGTTCCTAACCTCCAAGGCCAATGCCAATTCATACCTTCCATATAGAAACGTTCAGGAACAAAGCTATATTCATCATGGCTACCTATCTTCCTTGCAGAAGCTATATAAAATAATCAGGGCCAAGGAGGAGAAGTCCCTAAACATGAAAATCCCGTTTAAGCTGAACTCAAGAAAATAGACTTCAATGGGGCACTTTATTTTGATTACCACAACATAGGCTACAAACAGCCTCATTTTGTAAAGAAACCGCTTTATACCAAATATGTTACAATCTATATTATAAAATGAATGCATTTTCTCCCCCAGCAGGTGTTGTCATAATACGCTGAAACAACATTCAAATATGCTGGCATCTTAAAAGCTCATTCTGTTTCAATGGAAACCTAAGCTTTCAGAAACCACTTGGGTTATTTTTACTGTCATTTAAGTGGACCTTGGAGCATTCAGATAGGTGATCAGGCAATAAAAAATAGCCAAGAATATCAAATTAACAGGCAATTGCACATTACTTTGGTTGTGCCTTGCAGAGAAAACCAAGTCTAACATTTTGACTCAAGTAACTGGTTAATCCAGTTAAGCAGGACTTTGATCCAAACCTCTGGTTTCACCCATTTTGACACTGAGCTAATCCAATAAATCTAATCACTGTGGCATTGTGTTCACCTATCTTTACAACAGTGGATACACTCAAATGCCCAAAATTACCCAAGAACCTTTATTTTACCTATGAAAATCTCCTTGTAGAGGAAAGTTGCAATAAACTATATCATCTTTGGGGGAAACATAACAGATGAAAGAACAGAGAATCGGAGAGTAACTAGAATTTAAAACAAACGTTTGAACATTACTACTTTGCATTTGATGCTCTTTTCACCAAAAATTATACTAAAAGGCTTTTCTGATTTCTTGATATCTAAAGTAGATAAAAACACATTTCCTGTCACTACATTATGATGGACGGGTTCCCCCTTCCAAAACATCCAGTCCTGAGATTTACTGATGATTGTGCTTGATAAGAGAGAGGATAAAAGATCAGAAAGAAAAGCAAATACCACAGTGAAAAAGATCTGGCACAGTGTTCCCTCATGGATTCTGAGTATATTCCTATCAGTATCATGGGTTTGCAAGAAATGTCACAAGTCAGTAACAAGGGCATGGTTCTGATGGTATATACCCCACTGGAAGATTTGAAAGAGGGAATTAAACATTTACTTTCAGCTTGAAGTCAACAGCTCAAGAAGCTGAACCCCCGAAATGACTAGACTTCTAAGCAGTAGGTTCGGGTCGGGAGGTGGCATGGGCTCCTCCCCACAGCGTCAGGAAACATGCACCCTAAAGCCCTGTGAGAAATACTGTAGTATCACCAAAACCATTCTAAATTAGAGGCCACATCATTACACATTCTCTGTGTAGGAGCTGGGGTGGGAGGGCCAAACAGAGTCCCCCAAACATCAATCCTCGTTTCCTACTGCATGCCTCAATAGCCAAAGACCCTGTCACTGTCCTAAAAGACAATAATCAATTAATCCTCAACTAGAAAAAAAATCGTGGCTATTCATTAACTCAACATCACAGAGAATATACAATAAGGGGGAAAAGAAGACTTCATTTCCAAAAAAACCTACAACCACATTTCAATAATCATGATCCTACATTTATACCACAGGGTTGATAAAATAACTAAGGTTTACTGAGCAACTGCCATGTGCCAGGGAGCATTCTAAATGCTTTGGAGAAACTTTCCCCTGTAACCCTAACAACTGTATGATGTAGGTACTGTTCCTATCACCTTCTGACAGATCAGAGACTGAAGCACTAGATAATAGATCTTTTACTGAAATATACTACAAGGGAATAAGAGCAAATTAGCAGGATATGTTTTCTTATGCAGTTACGAATTTAAAAGACTGTGTGCTAACATGATTTGGACAGTGCTCCCATCTTCTAATTTGGCATATTCAATCCTATTTGTACACATCCTGGTGGCTTCAGCTAATCCCCTCCCCCTTTTTATCCAGTAGCTCCCCCGTAAATGTTAGAGAACAATCATGGTGGAGGACGGAGACCTCAAGGTCATGCTAAGTGCACATAATAGTGCATTCATCCCGGCACACTGCAGAGACTGGTTTCACATGATTAGGTATTTCAAGTCCTTAAAAATTATTCCTCCTCTAACACTTAAGTAGGTGAATACAGTTTACTTCTTTTTCTTCCATTTCAAGGACATTAATGGAAGACCAGGCTGAGAAGAAGTTTCAGAATGATTTATAAATGTATACTTCATAGAAGTGGTTCTAATGGTGAGAAGAGAAAATTAAACAAGGCCGTGACAGGTTAAAGGAACCCCTCTATTAGTTAAAGGAACCCCTTTATCATTCACTAACAACAAGGAAACACAATAAACTCCCCAAGGGAAAAAAAATAGGCCTTCTCTTTTACACTGGGGCTATTTAAAAAACTATACACGAGTTTAACACAAAGTAAAAAGTAACCCTTTCCAATTGAAGTCCAAGGTCAATCATACTCATCGTTATCAGCATAGTTCCTTGAGTAGTTGCTACCAGCTCGATGCTATTAATTCACTAAGTAAAAAAGATTTTCTCAAAACAAAGACTTATTGACGCCGTTCTGAATTTAAAAAATGCAGACAGGTTCAGCATAACATTCAATTCTATGGAAAAATACTGAAAGGGACAGCACAGAATATTTAAGCTTCTGGACACAGTTTCCCTCCGTGACAGAGAAGCTGCAACAAGCAACTCTCAATCATTCACTCTAATGGAGGGAAGAAGAACTACAGATAATCCAAAGTGTCAAATAATCAGCTTTTGAAAGCATCCGTTTTCTTTGCACTGGCATAAAGGTGCATCTGGGATTGGGTAACTCATTTTGAACTAAGTCTCAAAGCCGCATGAAAGAGACAGTTTTCAGGAAGCACTTGGAAGAGGCCCAGTTTCTTTTTTTGTACCTTCTTTATCCCATTTCTCCCAGCAAGATGGCTCAGGAAGGAAATACAGCCTGTCCTCCTTTAAGTCCTGCTGAGGGCACAAATGCTAGGCATCCTGAGAGCATGCCAGGAAAGAGGTAAAGGGCTGACAATGAAGTCGTAATTCTGCACATTTAACCATGTGAGATCATCATGGGAGATGCCGAGAGACATACACAACGAAGACCAGAAGCGCTTCAGTATTAGTATTCATCTGCCCGGAAACCAGGCCCCATCTCCAATTGATTAACAGTATCTTTCCTTCACATCATTCTTATAGCTTATAATTACATATTTAGGTCCACATTTGATTAATGTCTGTCTGTCTGTGTCCTTCTCTCTCTCTGATTAAATTGAGAGAGGGGGCGAGAGTGCTGTTCCCTCACCATCACATTCTCTCCCCCAGCATTCAGCACACTGCCTAGATCGTAGTAAGTGTTCAGTTAATATCTGTTGAGCAAATGCATAAAATAGAATAAGTGCTATTAGCACACCTGAAGGCAAGAGTTTGGAGGTAGAGAGCCAACCTATAGATCAAGCAGAGTTGGCAGCACCATGGAAAATACTGTGACAGGTTCCTGCTCTGTACGGATTAACACAAAAATAAAGGCATAATCATTGTCACTCAGTTATATATCTTTCTTTGCATGTGATGATAGAATGATCGAATATCATGGCAGGAATTTATAAGCCAAAAGCTCAAATTTGGGCCATTAGCTTTTACTCACAAAGAAATGTAGAATATGAACTTTAATACTAAAAACACTAACAGTGACCATTTTGTGACAACCTCTGCAAAATACATGGGTGGGTTAGGAAAAACTAAAACTGCCATTTTTGGGGATATGCCAGACATGAAATATTTTAGCATTGTATCTGTTTGCTTATGTGCTCTTCATGAACTCTGAAAACGCCTTTTTAAGTCAGAAATTGGGAGCTAGAATTTTGCAAAGTCTATAATGCTACCTTGACAAGAAAATGAGGTATTCCTCACCACCGAAATGTCTAAATCCAACCCCTGTGTCATCCGTCGTTCAAATTCACAATAAGGGAAGATATCTTATGCTAAAGAAATCAGGTGTAAGAAGGCACCTTCTCAATCATTTATTCTTCCTTCTTCGTTATGAAACCAGTACGAGAATTCAGGAGCCATGAAATTAATTATTTTTGGAAAAACATTTTGTTCAATTATTCAGTGCAGAGAATAAATGATTATATGCTACCAATCCTCAATCTTCACAATTCTGAGGAAGACTTCCTGTTGATGTTTGTACCTGAGCCAATCAGAATTTACCATGAAAATGAAATATCAACCAAGAACTAAATTACCAGACCACTTAAGCTTCAAAGAGGAGCTACAGTCACAGGCTTACACTGGCATGTGATCCTTGAATTGAGATAGAATATCTGCAGAGCAGAAACTCTAAATCTTACCCTTCTCGTGATAATTAGGACATATTTTGCATAAGACTATTGTTTTCTGTAATCACCTAAATCCCTGACCTGCACACTTACCTTAGGGTGACATGGGGCAGTTGAACTGAATGAACAATTTTGGCATCGCTGTCTGTCCAAATAAACAGGCTGAAATTTGTTCCAAAAGTATCCCAAAGCTATCTCTTGCATCTTTCTCTGGCTTCTTTCAATCTGTACAGTGCATTTTCTTCTTCATTTTCACTCAGTTTCTGAACTGAGCAGTCCCCTGCCACACTGGCATTACCCGTAAGTGAACACTTATTTGTGCCCATGTGTTTGCCTTTTCCTATTGACGGTGTGCATTTAATTTTTACATAGTGTATGAAACAATGGAAATATGAACTGCATTGTGTCAGCTGAATACATCTTATCCATTGTGCTCTCATCTCCAATCTGTTGTCTAGTACGCCTAATCAACTCTTTCAGGCCATACCCTTTTATCTAAGCAATTTTTGCGATTCAATCTAAACCCTGCATTAGTGTGGTAAGGAGTACTTATGAAAGAGCAATACATGCCTTCAACTATTACCTGACCGTATACTCCCAACTCAGCAGCCGCCAGGAGGGCACTTACCTTCTTCCTCCTCCTCCTCTTCTTCTTCTCTTTTGCGGCTTGGGCTTGCTTGTGCTCCCAAACCAGGTTGGTCAGGTTGGCCACATATTCATCGGTCTGCTGCAACAGGTAAGCTAAGCGCCTGTCTTTCTTTTGATCAATCAGTTTTCTATAGCCCTCTTCATCTTCAGCCTGTTAGGAAAGAAAAACGTGATCAGAGCCTAATAAACATTTTCAGAGAACACCTTTCCCCCCCATCATCCCTCCTCTTGACAGTCTTAAGTTTGATGGGTGGTGAGTGCAGCAACCCGAACTTTCCAGGCTGCACAAGTTCACACACACAGCCTGCGACTGGGGGTACACGGGAATACGATGCCGATGTCCCAGGACACCAGGGTTCACAGCAAACTCAGGACACATAACCATACCATGTGGTGTGATCAAGCACTTCTGAGCCAACTCTTTGTTCTTCTGTGTTTCTTTATACAAAAAATGTTAAAATTTGACATTGCCCCATAGGAAGATATGAAGTTTATTCTTAGCTTTGTATTTTGGAAATTTTCAAATACAAATACAATCAAAAGTAGAGCGAATAGAATAATGTCTCAAATAACCAATACCAAGCATCAAACATTAACTCCTGATGGTAACTCCTGTTTTATTACTACCTTTCCCCCAATCCCAAACTGGATTGTCTTGAAGCAAATTCCAGACATAATACCCTTTCATTCATAAATAGTTCAATAAGTACTTTTAAAGGTAAGGATCAAAAAAGCACTGAACAAGTAACTTCTTATACTTAAAAGCATTACAAACAGGGTGGTTGATAGAAAAAGTCAAACTTGGGGGGATTTTTGTCACAGATTGGCACTGTGTTATGGGCCTAGGTGACTGAAGACAAGTCATTTAGCACCTGAAGTCTGGTGCAGCGGAGCAATAAAACAGATACAATAAATCTCACCTCCATCTCCCATTAAGCAACATTACGAGGTTAAGTGGAATAAAGACTCTGATGTACTCTGAGCCATTTCACGAGAAATCTTTTTAATATGTCCCAATAAAAGGACATCTCAAAAATATTTTCCTCATGTGATGCAGGATAAAAGGGAAATGCTGCAGAATCTTTAAGAGGCAGCTTCATTACAGAAAAGCTTAGGATCGTCCTTCAGTCCGGAGGTGTCACTCCAGCATTTGCCTAAGTGACAGCAGTTTGATCACCCAGTCTAGCTGCCGTCTGCTCCACAGATGATCATGAACCTCAAATGCTATTATAACTCTAATTGCTTTTGGTTATGGTTGATCTCACTTGAAGAAAGAATGATAAAAACTTCAGTTTCTCTGTTATCTGTATATTCCATCATTTAATTGCAAAAATTAATGATTTGCAAATGCCTAATCATTAGTGTCAAACCAATCTGTTACTGAAGTTCTAATATAGTTTCACTTCAGTTAAGTCAGACAAATCTGACTGCTTACTGCTCACATTACTTGAACACGGTCTCCCTAGCTAGTTAGAAATTTCTTGGGCAGTCTTCTCTCAACCCAAAAAGGGGAAGGAGGAAGGAGAAGACTGTGAGATTTAGTAGTACCTGGACACAGAGCCTTTTAAAATATGGTGTTTACTCTCTGGAATCCAAAAAAATTAATGAAAACAAAATGTAAAGAATAATACCAGCAAGGAAGACAGTTATGGGCTGAGGCTAATGACTTTATCTTCATGCAATAATCAGGCATTATGTCCCAGATAGAATTTACAGGTCATTATAGATCACACACACATTTGTAAAATCCATGGTGTGCTCTGAGGTCCAATTAAAAAAAAAAAGTAAAAAAACCCCCAAATGCACAGGCCAATAATAATAAACCAATCCCTTCTGTGCTATATATCCATTAAAAAAATAATAGTGCAAAAATAATGATCTCTAAATAGCCTCTGACAACATCCCAGCTATAAACAAAAAAGCAACATTTCAAAATTAACTTAAAAATCACCTTTTATACTGTTAGAGAAATATTTCTGCCATTAAAAAAAAAAGACAAGGACTTAAAAAAAAAAAAAGACCTTAGATTCCAAGACACAACGTAATGAGATATTCATTCAAAACAACATGTGCCATTAGACTCAAAGAGGCAATATTTAAAAAATATTGTCATTTACTGTCATTTCTGTCCTTCCAGATCTGGCTATCAAAACTTCTGCGAGATATAGTACCTGCCTTTATGTGAGAAGCTCTAATCTGAATGGCAATGCCACACGAGGACATGCGGAGACTATACTCTTCAGCTGCAGCCCACGATTTGCGGCATGACTTATCTAGGAAAGAGGGTGTTTTTACTCCATCACCGTGAAGTTCAGAGGAACGTATTCATATATTCCACAGGCAGCTTTTCTTTTCTCCTTCTTTTGTGGCATATTTAACATCCTTAATACAGAAGCATGTGAGGGGAACCGCTTCCTGGGTTCCTGCGGGCGGGGGCCCCTTACCATCAATCTGCGCATTCTCTCCTTTTCGATCCGCTCTGTCTCTTTCTTCTGCTCCCTTTCAGTGTTGGCATGCCAAGTTGCCACAGCTTTAGAAAGCTTCTGGATCTTCCCGGCCACAGAGCGATGGTATTCCTTAAAATCTTTTGCATGTTGCAAAATGCTGTTCAGGTATTCCTAAAGGATCCAAAGACGGGTGGAGAGAATACTTAAAATCCACTTCCCAGTGCCCTGTGAAAGTTAAAGGTATTCCAAGAAAACGCTCAGTGTGTATTTAACAACAATGGAAAACTAGAAACTTGGGACTACTTTGGGATAGATGTCCGTGTGTGTCTCTCTAGCTGAGCTGTGGGCTGTAGGGCTGGTGGGAATGATGACCTCTCAAGGTTTATTTTAGTGTCAGCCTGTGGAAGAGAAGTCTCTGAAGCTTCGAGGGTGTGGCCGCATGAAAATGGAAAGATAAAAAATGGAGAGGTCTGGGCCAGCCAAGTGGCGGGTTAAGAGCTGGCTTGGGACGCCAGAGGGCCCCGGTTCGGATCCCACATATGAAGGCCAGTGACACTGCCCTC